GGCAAAAGACCCAGCGGACTCATCTCCAGGGGCTGAAGGCCCAGCGGCAACAACAGCTCTCGCATAACTAGAATTATCAAGGCTCATAAAGGTTGTAGGATGCACTGGAGCTTGTTGTTGCTGAGTATTCTGATTAGCCATCAATGAAGCAAAGTCAGATAGATTGTCTGTAGAAAGACCAGAAGTAGGAGAATTCGTAGTTGAATTTCCTGTCTTATCAACTGACATAACTATAGTTCTCTAACTTAAGCTTAAGGGCGTAATCGAAATCAGCTTGTACCGGTTCTTGTAACTCTACTTGCTCAGAATACCATGTTGAAGTGAACCACGTGTTTAGGATGGCCAGGATCTAGAGTTGGTGGAACCACGAGTAGAAAGTTGGTGTTGGAAATGTCTGAAATGACAAGGATAATAATAATGGATCCTGGCACACACTAACTTTCTACTCACTAACTAAGGATAATAAAGTAGAAAGTCTACTTTACACCTTGTGTAGGAAATGTTCGAAATGACAAGGATAATAATAATGGATAATACATGCATATTTATAGTCTAGGAAGTACCTATTCAGAATGTACCTGTTCATAGTGTATCGCAACTATTCGCATGACATGATTAGTGACTGTCCGTGTGACTGAGTGGCGTGACCCTTCGGGTGACTATACTCGCGAACCTACTGCTCACGCGTCAACTCGCTACTTCTGACATCATCATGCGCGTCCTTCCATATGAGGTATCACGCTACTATTACAATCTAAGTGTTACATCAGGAATGCGTAGAGTAAGTGGTAATTCTGTCGAGTATAGTTATGTAAACTTATACATTTTGTTATGCATGTCTAGTTATAGGCTTGACAAGTTTGTGCTCTTAGAGAGTACAACCCAAACACACATATCACCTTGTATGCCCTTGCTAGCATTCACTTAGTCATTCTAATATGGTATCACGCTAGGTAGGTCCCACTCACCCGCACTTCCGCCCTAGTCTCCCATAGACCGCCCCGCCCTAACCTACTATCGAGCTCTCCGCTCCAGCCTGCCGCACCTGCCCTAGCCCTTCGCGTCACGCAGGCCCTCGCTCGACGTGCCGCGCTGGCCCCTAGCCCGGTACGCTGGCCTCTAGCCGGCCGCGCTGGCCCCTAGCCCGCCGCGCGGGCCCCTAGCCCGCTGCGCTGGCCCCAGCCCGTTGTGTCGGCCCAGACTCGCTGCGCCGCCCTAGCTCGCCGCGACGGCCCAAGCTAGCCGCGCTGCCACCAGCTCACCGCCGGCCCCAGCTCGCCGCGCGGACACCAGCTTGTCGCTGGCCCCACTCACCGCCGGCCCAAGCTCGCCGTCGGCCCCAGCTCGTTGCACGGCCCCTCAGCTCACTACCGGCCCCAACTCGCCGCGAAGCCCACAGCTCGCCGCGCTGGCCCCTGCTTGCCGCCGGCCCTGGTTTCTCCGCTGCGCCAGTGCTCCAGTCGGCTGTCTCCTCTCTCGCGGCTTCACCACACTCTATCGCACTCCACCGCAACACCGCACTGCACTCCACCGCACCCCACTGCTCTCCACCGCTCTCCACCACACTCCACCACACCCGCCTGCCCGCTGCTCCTCCTCCGCCTGAGCTCTCCAGCTGCTGCCGCTGTGCGTGATGGCGATCGCTATTCTCCGCCTGGACGTGGAGGGTTGCGCTGTCAATTTTGAGGCGTGGCTCGCCGACCTACGCCGCCAGCTAAAGGGTTAGCACCAGGATGGCCAGTCCCTGGCCATCCATGTCGACGGTGAGCTGCCCTGCCCCCCCCTGTGCTTGCTGCCCTACCAGACGCCCCCACGCCTACTGAGCACAAGGCTTTCATAGCTGCAGAGCTTGCTCGCTCTGTCTTGGAGTTGCGTCACGCCACTGCGCAGCTCGCTATCAGTTACGCTCTCCCCCTGTCCGAGCGTCCCTGCTTTCATGCCCTAGAGACGGCCAAGGAGTACCTAGATGCAGTTATTGCTCGCTATTCCACTCCCTTCTCCGCTTCTGCTAGCCGCCTCCTCCTGCCCTTGCTCTTTCCTCATCTCACTTCCTTCCCCATTGTCGCTGATCTTGCCTCTCACCTACGCACGATTGAGACTAGCTACCGCGCTACTAGCATTGAGGCTTAGCTAACTGCACTTCCTCCCCCCCTCGGCGCTACTCTTCTTTCCTAGCCACACGCCTCCCCGACTGCCTAGCCACTGCCCGCGATACCTTCCTTAGCCTCCACCCCGCTGACCTCACCCTTAGCGACTTCATCGCTACCCTGTCGGTGATAGAGACCCGCCAGCGCTCTATCGCTCAGTCTAGCGGTACTGCGGCGATCCCTATCTTCTAGGGCTATGCTCCCTCCTAGTGCACTTACTCTGACGTTTCCAGTGCTGTCGCCAAGACAGTCCCTGTCGCAGCCTCGTCGGGATAGAGCCTCTTGTCACCCCAGAGGGGGGCGTAAGGGAGGGAAGGGTGGATGGGGTGGTGGGGGTGGCGGGGGAGGTGGCCGTGGTGGGAGTGCTGGGAGTGGAGACAAGGGGGTGGGAGAAAATGACACAGAGCAGTCACTGGAGCAGCAGCAGTAGTAGAGGCAGCAGCAGCACCAGTAGCGGCAACACCAACAGCAGTAGGGGTCCCCGCCGCAGTGGTGGCCAGGCGGCTTCTGTGGTGGTGGCCGCAATGGCGGCCCTCGCAGCTCGACGTCGGGTGGCGGCTCCAGTTCTGTAAGTTGCCAGTACCAGGTCTAGTCTGGTCCCCTTGCTGCCCTAGCATCTGTCGCCCTTGCTGACCCCTCCTCCAGTCTGGTAGTTGCACGTAGCTCCACCACACTTCCCTGTCTGGTGGTTCCCTCAGGCTCTCTTACAGGTCTGCACATCCCCTCGTTCTCCAGGAACCTAGTTGGTGTCGGCTGTCTTCAGGACCTCAGCGTAACCAATACGTTCCTTGGACACAAGCGGTACGCAGTCTGTACCCAGGCCGCCACATGTGCTCCCCTCACCACGTTCCCCTGGGACCCGGCGTCTCGCCTATTCATACTGGACCGCGCGTCTCCCAAGGTGGCTGCGTTTACCCAAGACGCCGCGGCTTGCTCGTATCGGTAGCTCACTCACCCGTCGCTTCTGTGGCACCATCGCCTAGGTCACCCTGCACTTCTAGCATGACCTTTTCTTAGGTCTCCCCGCGTCGCTCCCTGCCCTCCCTCCCTCGCTCGCGTCTCTGTGTATGCCTTGCGTCGAGGGCCGGCTGAGCCGTGCTCCTCACTCCTCGTTTCCCCCCACCACTGCGCCAGTCCAGACCCTGCACTTGGACGTCTGGGGCCCAGCCCCCATGTAAGGCATTGTGAGTCCTCCATGTGGTTACAGGAGTAACCTGTGCCTCAACGACAAAGGGTCCACATAACCGAGGCCGAAGCTTAGGAGGGATGTGGCTAAGGTCAAGGTTCATCGTGACAAACAGAACAGAGTCTCCAATCTGTATCTGATAGTCCCTTTGTCCTTTCTGGGAGGTTTGCACCTTTTGGAGGTGCTTTTGCGTATTATCCCAGATTTGATGCATGGCAGTGAAGTCGTGTGCCCGGTTGGACTTGAGCAGGAACAAGAGGCTGTTGTGGAGTAAGGGGATGTTGTCTGTAGCAAAGGAAGAACAGTGTCTTTCCTGTAGCAGAGCGGGTAGCGTTGTTGTAGGAGAATTCCAGTAGAGGTAACTCCCGGTCCCACTTGCTTGTTTCATCCTTCCAGGCAACCTTCAGCAACTGTTCCACGATCTAGTTTTGTCATTCTGTCTGCCTATCAGTTTGTGGATGATAGGCGGATGACATCGCCAGACGGGTTCCAAGGAGTCGCATGAGTTCCATCCAAAACTTGCTAGTGAAATTCGGATCTCTATAAGAAATCAGAATACTGGGGATCCCATGGAGGTACTGTAAGCGACTCAGTGGAAGAACAGGCATGTTGTTTCTTTGGTAGTGGCGTTCGCGTGCCTGGCGATAAAGTGGCCCATTTAGGAGAATTTGTCGATAAACACCATGATTACATCGTGTCCTGCTGCCGTACGCGGGAGTCCTATAGTGAAGTCCAGGCTCACTGTATGTCAAGGCTGTTCAAGAACGGGCAGTGGTTGGAGGAGGCCAAGCTTCTTCTGCTCTTCATTTGCTGGCACGCGTCATAAGACGTAACGAACCCCTGAATGTATGTCGCCATGTTTGGCCAGTAGTAAAATTTGGCGACGCCTGTCAGGGTCATGTTGCTGTTGAAGTGTCAAGCTAACGCAGTGTCGTGACATTCCTCTAGCAGTAGCTACTTCAAGGGTGCATCGTTACTGTAGGTACCCACAGCTTCTTAGTACCCTTCTCAGACGCAAGCCCTTGGTCCCATAGAAGGAATCTGCATCTATCTGCTGCTAGAATCTCTGAGTCAGTGTTGTATCCATGCTGGAAGAGGCCTTTGAGGAGATGGTTCATCCCGTGCACTTGGAGGGAGGTGAGGTTCGGCGATCTGCTAAGTGCGTCAGCCTTGTTACGTAACTGAGGCTTGTATACGATGTCGTAGTTAAAGTGGGTTTCCATGAAATCCACCCACCGAACTTCATGCTGTGACAGGGTCGGTTGTGTTTTCAGGTACTTCAGGCTGTAATGGTCGGTGTAGACTATCGTTGTCGCTCCTCCCAGGTAGCATCGCCAATTGACGAGGATGATAACCAAAGCCTCTTTGTCGTGTATGGGGTAGTTCAACTGCGCTCCATGCAATTTCTTGCTAAGGTATGCAATAGGTTGCAACCCTTTGCCATAATCTTGCATGAGTACTGCTTCCACTACTGCATCACTGGCATCAGCTTCGAGAACGTAGTCCTTATCTGGGTCAGGTAGGATCAGGACTGGTGCTAAAGTTAGAGCTTGTTTCAGCTTCTCCACAACTTGCATGTGTGTTTCCCCTCACTGAAAAGGTGCTCCTTTTTTCAGTTACTCCGTGAGCTGTACTGCTATCTCGGCATAGTTTGGGACGAAGCGGTTGTAGTTGTTGGCAAAGCCGAGGAACTGCTCAAGCTCCTTCACGGCTGCTTCCACTGCTTCATTGCTTCAATCTTCTTGGGGTCCATGTTTACATCACGTGCGCTGATGACGTGTTCCAAGAAGGGAACTTGGTTCAACGAGAACTCGCTTTTCGAGAGTTTGGCATAGAACTGTTCCTTCCAAAGGATCTTGAACACTTGTCGCAGGTGACGTATGTGTTCGTCCAGTGCCTTCGAATATATAAGGATATTGTCCAGGCACACCATGACACACTCGTCAAGTAGCGGGCGGGGAATATGATTCATCTCAGCCTGGAATATGGCGGGTGTGTTCGTGAGTCCGAACGACATCACTAATTACTCGTAGGAGCCATAGTGCCGCCGAAAGGTGGTTTTGTGGATAGAGTTATCCGCCATCCAAATTTGCCAATACAGTATCCTGGCCGGAGGTCCAGTTTGGAAAAAATAGTGGCTCCTCGAAGCTTGTCTAGCAAGTCATCTATCTTAGGAATAGGGTATTAATTCTTGACGGACTACTTGTTGAGCCCCCTGTAGTCGATGCACATCTGCAACGATCCATCGGGTTTTGGTGTGAAGATTACAGGTGCTCCGTAAGGTGATGTTGACGGTCGGATCAGCTTCTCCTCTAGCATGTATTCAATCTGCTTCTTCATATCTGCTAGCTTAGGTGGACTGAGGCGGTACGGAGGCCGGAAGGTTGGTTTAGAACCACGTTCCTCCACAATCTCGTGCTGGTGTGAATGTGCTGGTGGTACGCCCGCCGGTAGGTCGTTGGGTAACACATCCTTGAATTCCTGGAGAACCCTTTTGATGGCACTAGGAAGTTCCTTAGGTAGCTCCAATTCGGTGTCATTTACTTCAGTCACCAGGACCATGTAACACTGCTCCGCTTCTTTCAGCTCCTTGGAGAATCGTACTCACAAAGTAGTTGGTACGTCTCCCGTGTCGTCCCAAGTTGGTAACTCAATATCTGTTTTTTATTTTTATGCGTGGCCGTCTCCTGCTGCCAGTTGATTGTAGGGTTGAACTTCTTCAAGAAATCCCTTCCGAGTATCAGGTCCACTCATTGTAATAGGGTAGCTGGTGCAACGGGTGCCTAACATATTGGTCAAATGTAGAGTTGTAGCCGCATTTTGCCGCGTATTGGTAACTCAGTGCCATCCACCATTGTCTTCGTAAAGTGGGAAGGTTTGCTGCTGAAACCGAGACGTTTGACGGTGGTGTCGGAGTAGACTGTATGGGAGGCTCCGCTATCTACTAAGGCTTGAACTCTCCGGTTGTTGCATACTACTGTCAGGAGTAGAGGAGGTTTGGACTCCCCCGTGTAGTTGAGAACCTTTCCACTAAGATGAACAAATGGTATAGAGGTGGAGGACTTATGGGTACTAATGGATCCACTAGATTCTAATGGTGCAGCTGCTGTAGTAGGTGTGATAGCCAAATGGTGTGTAAAGGGCGGATCCACACCTGGCTTATTGGTTGGTGTAGGGTTGGCACGCGTCCGTGCCGCTACTTGTGTCGACGTTGAAAGTGGGATTCGAGGTCGTTGCAGCTTCCTTTGGACCTCTAGCTTCCCCCTCAGTTGCTTTAGCCGTGTAGCCGCTCCGCATGGGGTCCGTGGTGGTGTTGAAGGCTGGTTCTAGGATAGGATATTGACTCCGACAAAGGGTCAAATGGCTTCGACCGCTTTTCATTTCCCCCCAAGTTTCACAAGCACTGGAATAATTTCCAGAGGTTTATGCTTCAATTGGAGTCCTTCCCATAACTTTCATATAGTCGTAAGGCCCTTAATTTCATTTTGAAGTAAAGCTTCATTATATGATAAAGAAAGCTTATTTAGATTCGCGTTATGCTTTCTCCTCGTCAGCGCCCAGTCATTCTGCTGCTGCTGATTTTCGCTTTTGACTGACTCCGATTTTTCGGATCTTGACCGATCTGCCAAGTAGATCCGCAATCACTGGCGGCGACCATTTTTTCACTGATTCGTCGAAATCGGAGGGGTGTCGCTATCTCGTGTGACTCGATATTTTGCTCGTGCTACAATCATTCGGCTAAATCGATCGATTTTGTGCCCGTTTGCGCCACAAAAATCGCATTGCAATTTATTGCCGTAACGCGAACTTGCGCTGAAATGGTCGATCTCGACAGGGTCGGCCGTCGTGGGAAAAGCCGAGCGCTTGCGTCGGTCATGGTTTTGAGGGTCGCGTTCACCCAATCGTCGTGTGTCGTGACTCCGTAGCATGTCAAATCGTAGTTATTGAAGTTCGATGTCACCACTTGTCGTCGCATGTCTGGTTTCAATCCCGCCAGGTACGTAATGTCGTGTATTTGCGCGTAAAATTCCTCCATCTACCACGTGTATTCGTGCGTCCCTCGCGATGTAGGTCGAATTTACTGGCTCGAAACGGGTAAGTATTCCATCACGAAACTGCTTCCACGTGGCTTCGCACTGTAGATGTTGACTGTTGTTGAAGATCCATTCGAGAGCTGGGCCGTGCATGAGGGTCGCTACGAATTGAACCATTTTGTTGCCGTGAGTCATCGTTGAACACCTGATCGTCGCGACATAAATTTTTATGGCTCCGATCCAGCGACGAACGTCACACGATCTGTGGCTGAGGTCAAATGGTTCAGGTGCGTGAAATCGAGGAGCCTCGGGTTGGCTCATTGACAACTGTTGCGTTGTCGTCGCTGCTGCTTGGTGTGCTTGAGCGAGTTCGCCATGTAACTGTGCGATTTCCTCTCAAAGCATCTTATGTTCTGCTTCTTGCGCCCGGGTCGGCATAAAAAAAAAAAAAAAAAAAAAAAAAAAAAAAAACACGAGGGATTCGTTGCAAAAAGTAGATTCCGTACTTACTTGTCGGCCTCGGCTTGAACCGGCTCGCCCGTGCGGTTTTCGAAGCCCCGGTCGCTAAAAATGCTTTAGACTCTGATTACCAAGTGTAACAGGATCAAATGCGCTATGCTTAGCGTGGAAGAGAATGTAAACTATGGAATGAATATTGAATGGCAATCCCGAGGAACAACACAATTTATAGGCGAGCACTCGCAACGTCCTCCGAGCGACGCGCGAGTCCAGCTAAAACATGAATGTTCCATAAAGGAACCATTTCCCTCTAGAAGCAACAGTTAGAGAAGCACTAGGGGATTCGCCGAAATACGGCGAACACTCGATGCACACAATAGTTAATCTAGATAACACATACACTTATGAGAATAGGCAATAATCCAAATAACAACATTGGATAAAATAATCTGAATAATGAAAAGGAGTATTCTAGGTAATCAATAGTGTTATAGAAAATATAGGAATAGTTCTTTCTCCAAGGAAACTGTTCCTGCTCTCACACTATCGAGGCGAGTCCTGGAGGTGGTCGTGGTGCGGCTCGAGGTCCTGGTGTGGGCGCGGAGCAGCAGCAGCCGCAGTCCCCACCGATGTCAGCCCTTCGCCTCCTTGGTCTTCCCTCTCCTTACCGCCCGTCCGCGCCTCCCCCAGTGCTGCCTCCTCCGCCTGTCTACAGCCCTTTGTTCCCTCCGCCGGACTCGTACCCAGCTCGTTTCCCCTCTCGTTCTCCTCATGTGTCTACTCCCTTGTCTCCTGACTCCACGCCCCCCTCTCGCTGGTGGTCTCACCGTCCCTCTTGTGCTCATCCCGTCTCTCCCGCTCCGAGTGTCCACCCTATGTCTCTCCGTTCTCATGCGTCTCGTGCTCCTGCCACTTCTGTTCTCCCGTCGCCTCCTCCGTCGTCTCTTGCTGTCTCCCCGCCTCCTTTCTCCGTGCTGCTCGCCCTCTGGTTCCTCGTGTCCTCGCCTCTCTTGTTACCGACCCGTCCCTCCACTGGCCGACGTTCTTGCTCACTGACTTAGGTGATCTGCCTAACTCTGCCTCGATCCTGTACGCTAACAATATGGCCATGATCCTCATGTGTCAGGAGCCTCGACTAAAGGGCAGAGCAAAGCACATCCAGCTGCGGTGCTTCCCCATGCGGGAGCTACATCAGTGTGTCCAGACACGCGAAGTACACGTGGCCACTGGTGCCAACACAACGTATATCTTTACTAAGGCGCTTGCGCCTGAAGATCATCAGCGGCACTGCTTACAGCTTGGGTCTAGTTTCAGTAGCTCCTCACCTGCTAGGACCCTGACTTGTGTACTACTCCTTATATTATCTTGACTGGCCTTGCGGCTCTTGCCTCGGTGGCTGGACTAGTAGTGCCGCCCTGAGTTACTCTTGTTTAGTTTGTACTCTTGCTGATTGGTCTTAGGACCCCTGCCTCAGAGGTTGAACTAGTAGTGCCGCCATGAGCTGCGTGTCTCTTGCTTGGCACTGCTATTATAGCTCAGTCACTAACCATTGAGTTAAAGGCTTGTTAAGTAGCGGATAAGTGTGCCCATAACCCCCCCGACTCTGCACGTGTGAACCTTCCCTGAGGACCAAGGGCGATCCTAGCGCGTATCTTGACAATTGCCCCCTATCTAGCCTAGGGGGTGTGTCAATTTATACATTTTGTTATGCATGTCTACTTATAGGCTAGACAAGTTCGTGCTCTAAGAGAGTACAACCCAAATACATATATCACCCAGTATGCCCTTGCTAGCATTGACTTAGTCATTCTAACAACTTCAACACCCCTCTCCCCCCCTGCCCCCCCACCCCCCCCCCTCCCCTCCCCCCCGTTCCATCTCCCTTTGTTTTCACTACACCCTCTTTCACTACACCCCGATGGAGCAAACGGAACTATGCACACGCAGATTGGCAAAGAATGTTAGTGGTGCAACATTAAAAAACCCCATCAGGTATGCTAGATAAAATCAATAAGGAACAGATTCCCTATGTAACACTAAGAGAGTGTAAGAACCAGATGTTTTAGAGTATGAAGAAGGCCCCTAGATTCACTTGGAGGCATGCTGATCGATCATCCCTGGCCCCGTGCTTTTGGCTAAAATCGTAGACTTCCCACGTAAAAAAACGCTGAAATAACAGTGTTACTCTCTTTTTTTTTTTGCTTTTCAAACAGCCTTAGCCTAAAAAAAAACACTGCAGTGTAAGGGATTTCCTAACGCGAGATTTTTTTAGTGAAGCACCAATCCCTGTGTGTTTGCGCGCCAGCTTGATGCCGCCCCGCGCCAGATTACAGGAAAACTAGCGTGACTGGCTGGCGGTGGCTGATCACAACTTGGGTGGGAGTGTGTGGGTGGGAGGGACTCGTACTGTACTTGACTAGCCGCATTTTGTGGCTTGTGAGAGTGTATTCCGGGCCTTGGGTCCGACCTGAGGTTGATCCGCTTTCGAAGGAGCCGCGGGATTTACAGGCTCAACCTTGGGTCTAGTGACTTTGACGGTCGTGCACCTACAAAGTCGTTCACGTGTTTTCAGTCGAGCAGCCGTCAGGAGTCGTAAGATCCAAGGCATTTTTTTTCCACCTCGGGTGTTCTAGTATGACACTAGTGTCAGGCGCAAGCTCCAGAATCACTTTGAGGGGGTGTGGGAGAAAACATGCTGGTTTTCCCATGAGTTGGTTTTGTCGTTTGTTTAGGGGTAGTTTTCAGATGGTATACGAGATTTGGGGGGTGAGGGATATCAGGATTCCATGGGGTATTTGGGTACGTGACTGGTTGTGGAAGGCTGAAGTTATTAGGATTGCGTGGGGTACTTGAAGGGTATGACTGGTTGAGGAAAACTAGGACAAATTCATCGAGATTGCGGGGGTTGTGAAAGGGATGTGACTGGCTGTTAAAGACGTAGACAAGTTTATCGGGATTGCAGGGGGGTAGTTGAAGGACGACACTGGTTGCGGAAGACTTGGACAAAATTATCGGGATTGCTGGGGGTAGTTGAAGGACGCGACTGGTTGCAAAAGTCTTAGACAAATTTATCGGGGTTCGGAAGACTGGTGAGAGGGATGTGACTGGTTGCGGAAGACTTGGACAAATATATGGGGATTGCGGGGGTAAGAGGTGTTGTGATATAATTGATACTTAGCATTTCTGTAAGTCGATTAGTTGTAGATAGTGTCGAATCTTACTGTAGAGCATAAGTCCGTAGAATGACGTCAGCAAATAGCGCTCGTCATAGGACTGTCGTTTCAGTCACGCGAACAGTCGCACCTCTTCAATATCGTTTAGAGCACATAGCGCGATAGTGACGAACAGGTACATTAGCAAATAGGTACTTTTCCTAGAACTATAAAATCCTTGTTAGGTCTTTTCATCCACAAGTTTGATAATCAATTTTGATTATCCACAAGTTCACGTACTCAGGTTATTCAACCTCGACCTTTACATTTTACAAGACTTCCGCTGTCTTACTAGTCTACCATTCCAGTAAAGATCCTGGACCAACACTTGAGGGTTTTCCAAGTGTTCGTGTTTGCAGTTTTATACTTCGTCTACTACAACACCATACGATTTATTTCATGGTATGAGAGCTATCTGGAATTAAGACTACCGTCAACTATGATTGGTTCATCATCAGCACCATCTGCCGGATCAGTTACCGGAACTACTGGAGTACATGTCTCCACTACTGCCGCTGGTCTCTCAGCCTCTGGGCCATTCCCACCAGCCTATGCTAATATCGGTATGCAACAGCAGAATCCATCTTCTGTCAATACTCCAGGTGCTCCATCGACTGCACCTGCAGCGCAACAACAACAATCACAGACAACAGCACAGCAACAAGCGTCAGTACAGCCACCAGTATCAACGCAATCAATTTCATCTTCGTTCAGTGGAATGAGCCTTGACGGCTCAAGTTACATGCGTGGAGCTACAGCTCCAAGTACTGGTTCGTTCGCTTTCTCACCTTTCGTACAGCAGCCGCAGTCGCAGCAGTTTCAGCATCCTTTTTTTATCTTCGGTCGTTCCCCTGCTCAGCAACAACAACAACAATATCAGCAACAGCAGCAACAACAACAACAGCAACAACAACAACAACAACAACAACAACAACAACAACAACAACAACAACAACAACAACAACAACAACAACAACAACAACAACAACAACAACAACAACAACAACAACAACAACAACAACAACAACAACAACAACAACAACAACAACAACAACAACAACAACAACAACAACAACAACAACAACAACAACAACAACAACAACAGCAACAGCAACAACAGCAACAGCAACAACAACAACAGCAACAGCAACAGCAACAGCAACAACAGCAACAGCAACAGCAACAACAGCAACAGCAACAGCAACAACAGCAACAGCCGGGCATTGTTTTTCAGCCTCCAAATTTACTTAACAATACTCAGATCAAGACGACCGTACCTTTTAATGGTGTTGACTTTTACTCCTGGAGCTTTGAGTTTGAGCTTCTGGCGCAGTCCGCTGGGCTATGGCCGTTCTTCACTGCCGAGTTTACGTATCCTGTCGTGGGAACACAACTGGAGCAGCAGAGTTTCTTGCACGCCTCTCTCGGGGCATATACAGTTCTTGTTCGAAACTTGTCGCCGAAGGAGCAACTCGGCGTTCGATAATTTCACTCAAGTTTTACACCAGCCGAAACTGCATGGAACCATCTGAAAGGGGTATACATGGCAAAGGATACGATAACAGTGAGTAAAATACTTTCGCAGCTGACAAGTGTGCAGATGATGACAAATGAAAACGTCATGGACTACGTTAACCGTGTCCGTACACTACGCGATCAACTGGAAAAGAGCGGAGGATACTTCCCTCGTGAGATGTATCTCATGGTCCTTCTTGCTGGTCTTAGACCCGAATGGCGACAGACGCGCGCCTTCCTGCGCATGAACCCCAGCCTCTCCGAAGCCGAAATTTCTTCTTATCTTCAAGCAGAGCAGCAAGATCTTGACCTGCAATCACAACGCAATCAGAAAAAGGGACTACACTTGAGTTTTTACTCCAATCCAGAAACACAGCATCGACATCCACCAAAGTATCCATTCTGCCATTTCTGTAAGAAACCAGGACATACTTACCAAAACTGTCACAGCCTTCATCAAAATTGTCGCAGCACTTCACAGCCATATCACCGATCGCAGCAGTTACCGAAGACACAACAACCACAGGAGCAGTTAACGTCTCAGCAGCAGCAGTTGCCGAAATCTCCGCAGAATCCGTCGACGTCTGAGCATCGCCCGCCGGTCTTCGCATCTGCCACATCAGGAAAAGGAGTTTTCGGATGTGTTACAACAGTTGATGTTTCAGAAACAGATTTCGAGACACAACTTGAAGAAACCACAAGTGCTGAAGGCATTCCTTTACCTCAAGTTTATGCTAACCTTGCTCGAATAATTTCAGGTCCAAATACTTGGTATCTCGACAGCTGCTGCCATTGGCACATGTGTTCCGCAGAAACCAGCTTCATTACCAATCAGCGTCCACTTCGTCGTCCGATACCTGTAACACTCGCAAACGGACAAACCATTATGACACGAGTTTTTGGGAGTGTCATGCTCGAATCTATTGACACGGGATACTCACTACATGTCACCAATGTTCTTATTGTCGCTGGCCTTGGATTCAATCTTCTTTCCACGGCTCAGCTTCTGGCACACAAGATCCGAACACAGGGCAATTGTGAGACGATGGATCAGGAGCTCTGGCATAGTTCAACGAATACTTACCTTGGTCGTGCCGCCACTCAACATGGCATGTCCGTTCTTCAGTTCGCAGCACAGGGAACTTCTGGTGATTCTGAACGCGTCCTTGCATTTGGTCCCTGGGATCACCCAGAAGAAACATATTATCAATACGTGGATATTGAATTTCGAGCAACTTCTGTACCAACGACTTCTCGAACTGCAGCTGCCGTACTTACCGCGTTGGATACCTGGGAGTTCAATACCGCCGATGAAAGCGCCACCGGGTGGCAAACGTTTTATAATACCCGTGCAGCCTTCCAAGGAACTCCAGCACCACTTTGGGGGGAAATAAGTGGTCTTGCAGCTGATGAACCTGACGTCGTTGAAGAAGCCGAAAAAGAAGAGGTCACTGAGCAGCCGTATTCAACAGTAGCTGTTGCCGAAACGTCTGCCACAACATCAACAGCAGCAGTATCAGAAGTTGCAATCACACCTACAGCCGCACCTTCAACCGTTTCATTGTCACTTACACGTTTCGTTGGAGATGTTGACCGATCACCAGCGCTATCTCCTTTTATCATTTCTTCTTTCTATACTAACGCCGATTTCTACCTGCGATCATCAGGACACAAAGCACCAGAAGATATATGGCATCAACGGTTAGGACATCCATCACAGTGGATTCTTAATCATTCAATACGAGCAGCAGTTCTGGATAAAAACAGTCTTCTATTACCTGATGGCACGGAGATGAAGCCGTAGTCCCATCCCATGGTTTGCACCACGTGTCCGGTTGCCAATCTTACGCATGATCCGTTTCCCAGTCATTTTCCTAGATCAACACGTTATAAACTGATGCAGAAAGTCTACAGCGACATACTAAACTTACCTGAGGCAGGACCTACACTGACGGAAAGAATTGTCCACATGTTTGGCAATTTTTTGAATTTCCACCGTTAAAGGGCATTTGAACATTAAGCCTTAATTGGAGGCATTACCCACTATATGCAGGCTAATCTAGGGAGACATTAAAATGCTACACATTTGATGAAACTACTATCGTTAACAGTAAACAGCAAACATAACCAAACACGGTGCATGTGGAAAATTATTTCCAGGCGGAAGCAGCAACTTGAAAAACCCTTAAACTAGTACCTGGTCCACCGCCCTTTAGCCCTAATCACTGCTTTCACCCTCCTGGGCATGCTGTCGATCAAATTGGAGCACACCTCTGATGGGATCTTCTCCCACTCCTCTTGTACACGCTCCCACAGGTCCACCATACCAGTGGGAGGTGTCTCATGCTTTCCCAGCTCCCTTTTAAGATGAGCCCACAGATGCTCAATGGGGTTCAGATCAGGACTTCCTGCCGGCCACTCCAGGACCCCATACTCCTGCTCCTGAAGCCACTGCTGCACCACACGGGACTTATGCTTGGGGTCGTTATCATGCTGGAAGATCACAGCCGAGGGGGTTAGCTTGTAAAAGTCGATGGTTTTTTTCAGCTCGTCTTGCAAAATGCTCAGATACAGCGGCCCGTCCATCCGACCATCGATTTTGCACATGAAACCCGCCCCCTCAAACGTCATACATCCCCAGATCATCAAGCCGCCGCCCCCGTGTTTGACGGTTTGCTTGATATGGTGGTGTTGGAGAGTCGTACCTTCACGAACCCAGGCGTACGCGCGGCCGTCAGAGCCGAACCTACTAATCCTCGTCTCATCCGACCATATGACCCGTCGCCAATCATCTATGGTCCAATCCGCGTGGGCCCGTGCGAACGCCAGCCTATCGCGGATATTTTTCTTGGTGAGTCGCGGCTTCTTAGGCTGCTGAACTGCGATAAGGCCGCTGGATTTGAGCGCATTACGCACCGTCCTAGGATGCACCGTGATGCCGTGCTGGGATTCGACGATTTGGGCCGCATGCCTCGAGGTTTTCGCCTCGCCGCTAGTGATCGCCCTGACGATCCCACGACGAATTCTACTCGACAGTACGCGTGGACGACCAGCAGTGGGCATTGTAGGACGAACGTCCTCGGGACTAGTCTCTGAAATCGCCTTGAGCCCAACATCATGCACTGTACTTTTCCCAACGCCAACCTGTTTCGCGATTTGCCTCGTGTTGAACCCCCTACGCAACAGGGCCACGATCCGGGCGCGACGAGCCTCATCTATCGGTCTCATCTTGGCGTAGTCTACGCCTCGGGTATAAACTTTATTCTGACTACTCGACGATTGCGTTAGGAACTATGGAGAGAATGCTCTAGTCGAAAACGGATCTAGTCCGCTGCTTGGCCAAAACTGTCCGGATGCACTCACGCGACTGAAATCTTGGCCACGCTATTAGTGCGACCCATTCAGGTTGCAAACGTGTTACCCTATTGTAACTGGCACGCGTAACTTATTAGTCAGCAATGAACATTCAACGATACATCGGGTGAAAGCATTCAAATCATGTGTTGAACCTAAAATTGGACTTTATCCGGGCAATACTTTCCGTCGCTGTAAAGACGAGAAGTACGTCATAACATTCATCGAAGCATCTACACGCTATGTCTGGACAACGAACCTTCCTGCGTGCCATCACGCTCACTCCGTCTTCGTCGCGTGGCCCGCTGTAGCTGAACGAGAGTCAGGCGTGAAACTGCAAGAATTTCAGAGTGATGGTGCAGGGGAGTACACCAGCAACACTTTCACAGAATACCTTCAGACACTCGGCATCAAACGGAAGCAGCCACTGCCGCATGCACATCAATAGATGGGGGTAGCAGAAAGGATGAACAGAACTCTACAGGAGAAGATGCGTGCTCTGCTGACACAGGCAGCCCTTCCACCGCATTCGTCCCTGCCCGCGTTCTCTTCTCCACACCTGCAGTGGACACGTATAGTGGGAAGCACCAAACTTTTACGAGTTTTCGGGTGTGTCGTGCAGTTTCGTCCTCCAACTGCAGCACTTGGCAAATTTTCCGAACGAGCAAAATGGGGGGTACATCTCGGCATCGAAAAACAGTATCCCGCGTGGAAGATTTTGGATCTCCGCTCCAACCAAATCGTCCCATCACGTGATTGTCTTTTCTATCAAAGACTCACCTTGCCCGTTTTTCATGCCCACCAGACAGCAGCTGCCAACCCCGCCAGGCTGTTCCAAGGCTCACGTGCGTTTGCAACTGACGAAGCCGAAGCTGATGTACAGGACGAGGATGTTTTTGAAGCTTTCGAAGCTGCTGCAACAGACATTCCCGAACCTGTCACTTCGACCGGCATACCAAAATTCATTCCTCTTGCAGATGCTGATCAAGATGATGTTCGCGAAGTTCACCTCAGTTACGAACGCGATCGCCAACAGCAGCCGATGCCCGTCGTCTCCGACGAAGCAGTTCGTGTTACACCTGACGAAATTGGGGGGGAAGAAGGACCAGAAGAAAATTTCGCAGGTGCAAACGAAGAACGTCCGCGTTTTACAGAAACAGGATTACAGATACTGGGATTCGCAGTCGCATTACAGTGCAACAACAGTAAGATACCTGAACCGAAAACCGTTCGACAAGCTCTTACAAGTCCTCACCGAGAGAAATGGCGCGAAGCCATGGACAGAGAGCTAGCAGCTCTCAAGAGTCGCGGAACATGGGATTTAATACCGACCTCAGAAGTAAAAGGAAAGAAGGTACTTACCGGAAAATGGGTCTTCCGCGTCAAGACTAATGCAGATGGGTCGTTTGAGAAATTCAAGGCACGATGGGTTGTCCGTGGGTTCGAGCAGACTTACGGCATTGACTATGAACTAACTTTTGCTCCTGTCGGACGACATACAAGCGTTCGGATTTTGCTCTATGTCACCGCCTACCGTAATCTTCCTCTTTGACAAATCGACGTATCAAATGCGTTTCTCTACGCGCCCGTCGACGCACTCATCCTGGTAGAGTACCCGCATTCCTGCGCTACTAACCCACCGAGCGTATGCCGTCTACGAAAATCCCTGTACGGCATTAAACAGGCACCTCGACTCTGGCAACAGTACCTACACTCGCAGCTGATCACTGCCGGATTTCGTCATTTACCGCATGACCAGGGAATGTATCTACTGACTGATGGCAGCAACTATATTTTACTTGTCGCCTACGTCGACGACATCCTCTTCGTCAGTACTACCGATTCTCTTGCTGATATCTTCATACTGAAACTACAGAAAATTCTATAGCTTACCGTCACTAAAACAGTCTCACAGTTTCTTGGTCTAAACGTTACCTGTTCACCGACGACTATTCATCTCACCGCTTCGAAGTACGCAGCAACGCTTGCTGCCCGCTTCAACCTCACACCTACTACGGTCTCTACACCGTACCGCTCACTACCGACTGACCACAAACCGAACACTGCACTGTTAAATTCAATCGGTTTACAGATCTATCAACAGTAGTTAGGCTGTCTACTCTTCGCCGTTGTTACATGTCGTCCCGATCTAGCTTACGCGGCCAGTCAGCTCGCTCAGTTTCTTCGCCGCCCCGAAGAAGAACATCAGCTTGATCTTCTCCGCGCGCTTCAGTATTTCATCTCAACACCTGACGTCGGTTTAGTCTACAACGTCATCGGTTGCAAAACACTATACCTACACGGTTTCGTCGATGCCGATCACGCTACTGACTCTACTAATCGACGGTCGTGCACTGGATTCATCTATCGACTGGAACCTATCGGACCTATCTCTTGGAATTCGACGAAGTAGGAGTTGATTGCTCTCTCTTATGCTGAAGCTGAGTTTACTGCTGTATGCACAGCAACATGCGAAGGACTCTATCTACAGGAACTATTGGAAGAAGCGAAGTTGACGACAACTACCCATTTTACCCTACAGTGCGACAATCAAAGTGCAATTCGCATCGCGCATCAGCCTAGTTTCGTCAACAGGACAAAACATATTTCTCTACGTTACTTTTTCGTCAGGGATGAAGTCGAGAAGGGGAGGATGCGATTGGTTTGCTGTTCTACCAACGAAATGGCTGCCGATTTTCTCACGAAGAAGCTGACACGATAGAAGTTCCAGTACTGTAACAAACTTTGCCGGATCTTCAAGAAGTGACAAAAGGGCCTCAGATTTCAGGCAAATTTCCCTGATTCAGGGTTTTTTCAGGGGTTTTGTCGTTACCGACCCTGATGTGCTAGGATTTTTTTTTACCTTAACCCTGATAAATCAGAGTTTTTTAATAACTGAACTATGTTTAACCAGCGTAACAACAGTAGTGGGCCCTGACTGTTACAGCCTAGAAACGGGGACGTGCCCTGTTTCCAGTAATAGGCCCCCATCTCCCCCCCCCCCCCGAGATTCCTGTGAGTTCCCCGTCAGTCACGCCGAGCCGACCATTCTCCCACCCAAATCTGCGTCGTGGTGGCGAGTTTTCCGCCAGCACATAATGTGCTGCGGCTAAGGGATTGGGCGACGAGTGTTTGACAGCATGTGTTGTCGCCAGCATAGACCGTGACTGCGTGACTTGGTTGGACACCAAGAAATCACAAGTATACCAACCAATAGAGAACTGGCAACTTACAGCGGCCTTGCATTTTGCTGCCACACTGACGTCACTGTCGCTGTGTGCACAGCATCTTGCCTGCCAGCGCTGCGTTTACGAGTGGATTCCTCGTGAAAATTGACCAGCATGCAGGCAAGGCCACCGTGCTGCGCCCCGATCCATTCCCACAAGCTACCCCCATCTGGTTCATCTTCATCTTCAACTGTTGTTATACCTCCCTATCTCCCCCAGATTTTTCGTTCCTCGAGTAGCCATTCCCCCTTCATTTGGTAGCTCCTCAAAAGCTGTGTCTCACCCCGTCATGGGAGAGCCAATCGATGGGGAACTGGCCGATGGTGATGCAGGTGATGGCCAGCGTGCGGACCTCACCACTGGCCTGGACCTGTTGCTCTCGACTTTATCTAGCCTAACGCGCATGCCTCTTAGAGGAACCGCACGTCTCAGTCAGGAAGAACCAGACGAAAAAACCGCCGTCGATTCCGTATCCGCTGCAGTCATAGAGCATGTCCCTAATCCTAAGCCCGGTCCCTCCACGCCTGCTCCTGCTGAGCATCTGTCGCCCACAGATGGACCTGCTAAGCGCTCTGGGCGCTACCGTCAGGCTGTTCTCCCATTCGCACGGCCCAAACAGGCTAGCGAAGTGTCTTCGCCGTCCATCCCCGCTTCCGATGATGCTGAGTCAGAGGACGACACGCCGACGACTACGAAGAAGGCGAGAACCCCGACTGAGCAGTACGCAGAGGCACTCAGTAAATACAAGAAAAAATGGAGCGACACTTTTCTTTGGCTTTTGCTTGTCAAGACTGAAGAAGGCCTCCCGGCCTTCAAGTGTCAGTTGTGTATGGACCATGCAGGTCTCTCAAGGAAGAGCGGACGCCGTGGCCCTGGTCTCTCGGACGCCCAGACACAAGCCTTCACTAGACACGCCAGCACTGGGAAGCATCGTCTCGCCTACGGGAAGCAGGCTGCTCTGTTGCAGGAGGCAACGACGCAGACGAGGATCGACCAAAATCCCCGTGCCGCTGATCTTGAGAAGGAACGGCTGACGGCGCTTCTCAATTCTCTCTACCTCTGCTGCACGACGAACGAACCCATGGAGATGTGGATCACATGTGCACGCTACCTCGCCTCTCGGTTCTACAAAAACGTCCCCGAGGAAGGTTACGGCACCTACCTGAACTCGTGAGTCGTCAAATTGAATGACTGGTCCGTGGTGTTTTTTAATGCGTCTACTCTAACTCCATTTTTTTCCGTTTGTAGGTACAGCTTCGGAGAATTCACGCAGGCCACGGCTACATGGCTTCAGACAACTCAACTGGAGCATCTTCTGCGGAGCCCATTCATCGGGCTCAGCCTGGACGAGAGCACTGATAGGTGCCGGGGGAAACACATGATCGTGTTCGCGACCTTCCTTCGTGAGCGTCGGGTGGTCACGGAGTACCTGGCTCTTCTTACAGTCGACAAGGCGGACGCTACCTCCCTTCTGGCGTTGCTGCTCTCCCACCTCCAGGCCATCGGAGTGGATCTTCGTCGGATCTCTGGCATCAGCACTGACGGGGCAGCAGTGATGATGGGCGCGAAGTCTGGACTTGTTACTCGTCTCCGACTGCGCATTCGTCACCGCGTCTCCTGCCACTGCATAGCGCATCGGTAACCGTGTGATTTTTTGCATTCGTATTTCGGCCTGGCGAGTAGCCATGTATGTGTTGCCTTGTCTAACTCTCTTTAACTGTTCATGTTCTGTGCACGTCCTTGCGCAGTGAGGCTCTGGCCGCCAAAACTGCAGCCGATGACCTCCCCGCCTTCATGATGATCGACGATGTCATCCGAGAGCTCGCTGAGTTCCTCGGACGCTCGGGGCCGTGGCATCAACGCTTTCTCGAGCTTCAGGATGTCTTCCTCTCGACGGCGCTTGAGCTGCAGGGTATTCACCACGTTAGGTGGCTTTCCCGCGGGGATGCCATCCAACGGTTGGTGAAGGTTTTGCCGGCAATCATCGTGATGCTGTCTGAGTTCCCAGACGATAGGCTGTATACCATTGTTACCAGCTATCGTTTTTGGTTTCTCTTGATGTTTCTGGCGGATGTGCTTGAGCAGATGAACACACTCAACAAGATCTTCCAGACGCGCCAGGTAAAATTACTGTGTGTCTTTGCTAAACTGCTGGACTGACATCTTTCCGTGCCTTACCTGTGTGCACCACCCCCTCCTTGCAGCTGGACATCTCCACCGTCCACTCATCCATCGCTCGTGTGAAGTCCCTGCTCCTAAGCCGCTACGTCGACTGCGGCGACGACTTCAACGGGGCGCCGAAAGACTGGCTCACGGAGTTCCTTACCCTTCACGGCCCTTCCGGTTCGCGGCGCGTCATCGTTGAGGGCATTGACTCAGACGGTCGCCCGCGGCGGTTCAGCTTCATCCTGCACATGAAGGACATCAGCTATCCGGGCGAGGGGAAGCACGATGACTGTGTCACGCTGTGCATGGCAATGGCGGAGGGCATGGCCAACAATTTGGAGGAGCGGCTGGGTGACCTGAAGCAGTTGAGTGGCGTCATGCTGTTTTGTGCTGACCAGTGGCCGTTGCAATGGGCACGTGCGGCCAGGATCAAGCAGTGCATCGAGTGGTTCCATTCCCTTGTCCTTCTGTACCACGCGGAGGGAGCTGAAGAGGTCTTACCAGGTAAGGTTTTAGCTCAATTCAAGTGGTCTTTTGTGTCATCAAGCACCGAAGTCTCAACACGATTGCTTTACTTCCCCTTACCTCGTTGACAGGCATTGACACGCAAGCGGCCGTGAAGGAGATTCCCCACTTCACCCCCGTCATTGCAGCACTGTCGCAGGGCGAGAAGGGATTCTTCACAGGGCTGACGACCATTCTGAAGACACCGGACTGGGAGCACAGCTACCCCAACCTTGTAAAGCTGTGGTGTGCAACGGCGGTTCTTACTTTGAGTACAGTGGAGTGTGAGCGCGGGTTCTCCCGCCAGAACGTCATAAAAAGCTGGTTGCGTGGCACCTTGAAGGACTCTCGCCTAGGAGACTTAATGTGCATGAGTTTGTTAGATTACGAGCCGGACTGGGACGCCGTGATAGAGATCTGGAGAGCTTACAAGAAGAGAAAGCCGTATAGCTGCGCCCCACAGAGCAGGGCCCAGACGAGCTGCAAGGGAAAGGAACTAGTTGAAGACGTGCCTGGAGAAAACCATGATAGTAGAGCGGAGGAGGATGAGGAGGAGGATGCTTAAGTAAGTAGATGATGTATATTTTATGCTTGTTTCTAAAAATTGCTAGTGTTCATGTTCAGCGCCATTCTAGCGTGCAACCCTGTTAACTCAGGATTATTTTTTTTAGCCACCCCTGTCAGCTCAGCGGAAAATTTTTATGTAGTCCTGAAAAATCAGGGAACAAGGTGGGGGGGGGGGGGGGGGCCTGAGCAATCAGGGTACCTTAAAACCAATATGAGGCCCTGAGTGACACTATCGACGTTCCAGAAATGAAAGGGGGTGTTGTGATATAATTGATACTTAGCATTTATGTAAGTCGATTAGTTGTAGATAGTGTTGAATCTTACTGTAGAGCATAAGTCCGTAGAATGACGTCAGCAAATAGCGCTCGTAATAGGACTGTCGTTTCAGTCACGCGAACAGTCGCACCTCTTCAATATCGTTTAGAGCGCATAGCGCGATTGTGACGAACATATACATTAGCGAATAGGTACTTTCCCTAGAACTATAAAATCCTTGTTAGGTCTTTTCATTATCAACTTTGATTATCCACAAGTTCACGTACTCAGGTTATTCAACCTCGACCTTTACATTTTACAAGACTTCCGATGTCTTACTAGTCTACCATTCCAGTAAAGATCCTGGACCAACACTTGAGGGTTTTCCAAGTGTTCGTGTTTGCAGTTTTATACTTAGTCTACTACAACACCATACGATTTATTTCAAGAGGGATGTGACTGGTTGCGGAGGACTTAGACATAATTTTAGGGGTGTGTCACTGAAAACGTAAATTGGGAGGGAGGGGGGGGTGTCAACTTATACATATATTGTTATGTAAAAGTTATAGGCTAGATATGGTATGTTTTTAGTGGGTACAACCCAAATGCTATATCTCTGTTGGAAATATCTCAAAGAACTTAAGCGTTTCTGAAGTGTAATACTACACTCGAGGAAGATCACAACGGGTACGCGAGTCAACGGAAACACACGAGGGGGTGGACAAAGAACGCGAAGGGACTTGAAGGGTCGCAACTGGAGGTTGCGACTGACCGTTACAACAGCGCGGATGGTAACCGAAGCGACAATCGAGTCGCTGTGCGACTCGATAACCGCTCCTGCAACTGTATTCTACAACTGCTTTACTTTCCTACTTTCTTATATATTCCTGTATGCTTGTCTCTTTAGTCAATCACTTGTTCTCATATACTAGTACAAGGGTTCAACTGCCTCAAACTTCCGCTGCACTACTCAAGCCTTTTACAACTGGGACTTAGTCTCTGGAAAGATCCAAAGGGCATTTCTCAGCCCAACAATCTCATTTGTTCTCCCTTCTTCTAATCATTCTTTCTAGTCTCAACAGCGGGGGGGAGGGGAAGGGGGGACTCTCGCTTATTCGGTTTCCACCTCTAAAAAAAGGCCAGTAAATTAGCATCAACCTATCCCAAAACCCTGAAAAAAGGCTGAATCAGCGTAAAAAGTATGATATCTAGGGGCCTGGTATCAAGGGTGATGTGGTTTGAAATGGAGGTAACATGCTTATGTGGAGATGGAATGATCGTGTTTTTAGTGAATATCACCTGGTATGTGAATTAAACCGCCAAGTACTTCCTGAATGCACGAACAGGCACAGCCGGGACGTTGGCCTATGATCACACTCGACATAAAACGCTTCCTTGGCTGTAGCGGCTCGTACGTGATTGGTACGGCCTCACGCAGCTTCCTCCGACAGCTCCATCTGGCACTGGTCCTTGTCGGCGCGCTTTTCCCACACCAGGTCGCTCGCTGCGCGTCGCTAATTTCGAATGCCGCCCGCCCAGGAATCGGGTGGACTCGCCATGGATGCCCCCAATGCTTCCATCGAGTCGTGTCGCCAATTTCCCTCCCACCACATTGTCGAATCATGTCCCATGCCATCGCATCCCATCGCTCATCCTTCCCACCCGCACTCCACAGCGATACAAAATTTCCAAGCAAGCTCATCCTTTCTAGGCACGTACTGTAGTCCCCCCCAAACTGATTTGTGAAGTTGTGCTTGGCCTGCTCCTGCGGCAGGGGCAGCAGTGATTTGCTTGCTTGTCTCGTCTTGGTTCAGCGAAATTTCGATGGATGCGACCTTTCGGAACTGCTAAATGCCACTGTCCCGAAACGCGGGCCAGCACAAATAAAAACATCTCCTCCGTTCGTTACCCGTGATTCTAAGGAAGATAGAGCCTGCCCGCCACCGCCTCGCCCAAGCGTTAGTCATGCTGCTGGGGATTACTCTATGGCGGCGATAGAGACGAGACCACGGTCGGACAACGATCACCTAGAGCAACGCTTGTCCGTTACGAGTCAAATGACGCCACTTGCACCCCGCCCACACTCAAGTAGCGCTCGCTAGCAGCAGGGAGGGAGGTCCAACGGAATGGCTTCCCAGCTCCCAGTCGCAGCAGGAAGAAGGCAGTTCGTACAAGCAGTGTATAATGCAGCGTGAGCAGTAGAATGCGGGCCGCTGATGAGTTTTAGATACCTTTCGGCGGCTGCCAAGTATAGCCGCTGCTCGGCGGTAGAGATAGAGGACTGCTTCAGAAGTTCCTTCCGAGATGGCTTGACCCAAAAGTCTGCTCGGCGGTACAGTAGTAGATCATTGTTTACAAACCTGAAGTTCCGAGCTGAATATCCGCACCGTCAATCGATGACAGCTCTGCCGAATATCGGCTTCTTAGTAGCAGCTGTTTCTTCTGGCGCTTATCCGCGCTAGAGATCGCGGGAACATGCGGACGGGGGATCGTGTGATAGAGACGCGTAGAGCCTCGGAGGATCCTTCGAAAGAGCCTTCTCGAAGTAGGGCGATCGACTCCCGCAAGCAGCATCAGCAGCAGCCGAAGCAACAGCAGCAGAAGCAGCAGCCGGCTTGCGTGCAGGTTAAGGTCGGCGAGCTAGAGGGCTTTAGCAGGGCGGTAGTGGACGAGCTAGGGGGAATCAGCAGGACGAAAGTTAACGAGCTAGGGGGAATCAGCAGGGCGGTAGCAGACGAGCTAGGCGGCGTTAGCAGGGCGGTAGCGGACGAGCTCGAGATCGTACGCGAGGAGAAGCGGAGCCTCGAGAAGAGCCTCAAGCTCGTGGTGGAGGAGCGCGACGCACTGCTAGAGCTCGCGGCGAGGAACGTCGCCGTCGCGGCGAAGAAAGAGAAAGAGCGGACGATCATAACTCGCGAAGCCGTTTTCGAGTCGACGCAATCACCTCCGCACCCAACGGGTGCTAGTAAGGTCGGCGAATCGCTGGCCGCGACGGCAGACCGTGCCGGGAAAAGCGGCGGGAGCGCGGAGAGAGCGCTACAACGGCGGAGCCGTCCGCACTCTGTCGAGCGTATCCCGAGCGAAAGTGGCGACCGGTCGTTGCGGCGGTCGGCGGATGGCCGTCCGCATTCGGCGGAGCGCGGGCCGCGGCGCGCGGAGATCGCGGATGGGGAAACGGCGGACTGGAAGGGCGGCGCAAGCGCGCTGATTGCGCTGGCCTTGGAGAAGGAGAGAGAGAACAAGTGGGAGATGGAGTACCGCAGAGAGATACGGAATGGGGAGGTGGGGGGAGTGGATTCCCCGCGGGGGCGGGAGGAGGACCAGGCCAATGCGCGGGAGTGGGAGGCGAAGCGGGATTTTCTGCGGGAGGAGCGGAAGCGGCAGCTGGGGCGGGAGATGGCGAAAGTGAAGGGGGCGGCCGGTGGGGGGGAGAAGCCCGGACATATCCAGGAAAAGCGCGCGGTTGAGATGGGTCGGCAGGACCAGAATCAGCTTCACGGGGAGGCGCGGAGGGAATGGTCTCACGGGAAAGTGACGGAGAGCGCGGAGAGGCGGCGGTCGGTAGAGAGGGCCAATGCGAAACGGGAGAGCGATCGGGAGCAGAGGAAGGGGAGGGAGAGGACGAGGGAGAGGGAGCGGGCTGAGCAGCGCGAGAGAGAGAAGGAGCGGAGCGAGGAGAGAGCGAAAGATTTGCGAAGGGAGGCGGAGCGGCGAAGGGAGCAGGAACGGGAGAGAGTGAGGCACCTGGAGCGGGAGAAGGAGCGGGAGGAGGAGAGGGAGCAGGAGCAGAAGCGGGAGGCGGAGAGGGAGAGGGAATGGTGGAAGGAGAAGGCGCAGGCGGAAGCGTGGGAGAAGGAGTGCGAGCGCCTGAGTGAGGAGGTCGAGCGCCTGCACGAGTTGCTCCAGCAGGCGAGGAGCGAGCTGGCGGTCGCACGGAGGATCGACGCGGGCGCGGCGCAGGCGGGGGGGGAATCCGCGGGAGCTGACGTGGCGAAGGAGCTGGAGCAGACGAAGCTGCGGCTGGCGAAGGTGGAGGCGGAGCGCGGGCAGCTGGCGAGCGCGGTGGAGCGCATGGTGCTGGAGATGGCGGACGCCGTGCGCGAGCAGGAGCAGTTCCGCGAGGCGCTGCAGCACACGAGCCTGGATACCATGCTGCTGTCGCACGCGCTGGTGAGGAGATTTTGCACCTACGAGTTTCTTTGTGTGTTGCGCCTACTATAACTGATCGTTTGCACCTACTACCGTACTACGTGCATTCCCTAAACTAGTAGTTTAGGGTAGTGCTGCTTGTGTGAGCCTTGCGCCTACTTGCTGTGTGCATTCCAATCACATCTCCCTATTCCTCGTTTCCCGTTGCAGGGGTCGGTAAAGACGCTACAGTCGACAGTGCATCTCATGCAACAACAACTACATAGGGTACGATCTGCTATGCAGTGTTTTGTATGCTACCACACTGGCAAGCCACTGTCATGTTAACGTCCAGGGTAATGCGTCATTTTCATTTTGGCTAGAGGGCCTCCGTTCTTGACGAATTCTGAGTATGACGTGCTCATTGTCTGGAATCTTTCAGGAAGCGCTCGAGAAGGCGACTCTAGCAGAGAAACTCGCAAAGCTTCAGTCGCAAAGAAGTCTGGAAGCTGTCAAGGTAAGAAGTCCATTGCTCCCTTATCGCCCCTCAAGTGTTACCTTACCTCGGAGTGCAGTACTTGCCCTAGGTTCCACAGCCGTTTTCATTGTTAAGACTGATTCACATTTGAGTGCTGAGTAAGACCCATCGTCCACTCCCACATCCCCGACCAAACAGCATCAAGCTTATGCCTCGAGCATCCACTCCTTGCTTTCATCACTGATGCTCCGCTTCAACTTCGACCGTGACCCGCTCATAAGGAATGCATTGGAGGAAGCCAACCGCACAGCTCACAACATGGCAGATACCGCATCACAGCTGCTGGAAGCATGCAACTCTGCAGCTCCATCGAACCCTCTCAATGCAGCATCTAACCTCTATCGGCTGGGGCCTCTTGGCCATGAGAGTACTCACTCTCTGGCGACTGTGGTCCCCTTGCCCCTGTCAGAGTCAGCCCCGGCACCAGACCATGATGCATCAGCTTTGCCCAAGAGGTCTCAAAAGCGGACAGTTATGTCGGCTGCGTGGAAGCTACTGATGACTCACGGATCTAAATAATTGCTGCTAGATGAGCTATTGGGGTTGAGCTAGCTAAGGAGAGAACCTGATTTGCCTTAGCACAGAATCATGCGTTTTTAGTAAAATGGTAGGTAGTAGATATTTCGGATCGAAGGTAGTCATTGCTATCTGGGAGATATCCTCCATGTAAAATGACTGATACCAGTAGATTCATTCAGCAGGTCCAAATACTTTGCGAGGCCTTATGGCATCATCATTTGGCTGATTCACCTATACTGGGGTAGACTCTGCACAGCATTATTAGAGACTAGCTCTGACTGAAGTGGCAAACTTTGCCGATCAGCCAAGTCCTCATCTGCAGCGATAAAGAGCTACCAGATGGATCTGCCTTCACCGAAGTCTTCATCTGTCCACCTGCAATAGGAGTATCGTACATTCGTACAGTGCCAAAGAGAAAAAAACTAATGCAGAGAATTGGTATCAGTTTGGTACTCACTTCCCATATTTTGACCTCATCTTATTTGCCAGTGATGCGGCTGTCGTGTTCTCTGTTTTCGTTTTCTGCTGCTCCCTGGAAACCACAGCATCGTTGGACGTAAATTGCAGCAGTTTAGAGTTAAAATTCTCAGAGCAGGAGATACTGTAATGATGCTTACACTGCCTTCTTCAACTTATGCATTTCTGCGTCACGTTGTCGTTGTTGCTCCTCAAGGTTCTGTTCAGGATGGTTCACAGAAACTGGCGAGACAAGAGAGGGGTGCAAAAACAGAGCAGCACAAGGGCGTGCTACGGCATAACCTAGTCGGAGCATGCTCGTACCTCATAAATCTCCACAGGAATACATGCGTGTATAACTGTAGAGACAACGAGGGCCAAAATCTGCACAGGTAATCAATGAATCGCACAGGCGGGACCTTGAGCTCAAAGGGAATGGCACAAACATCGCATTCTTGGCCATCACATGGTGCAGAGTATGTGGAACAGCCCTTTCCGGAATGAACTTCAGTAGGTCAAGGCAACTCACCTCCAAAAGAAAGATTGACAGGAAAACCCACTGGACCTTGCTTAGAAAGCCCCAAATCTGTGAGTTAAAAATGACATTAAGATGTAAGGTCGTTGTTTGTCAAATTCAGGTGTGGTCTACCTTGTCGTCGTCCCACTGACGCGAGTTGATGGTTCTTGCAATGGCCGGCTTCTGTACAATAAAACGCACATTAGTAGCATTCCAGAAGGCGAAGACACTTTGGATGCGCTGTGCTAAGGCTTACAGAAATAAACAAGGCCAGGGTGAATCCACCACAGCCAAATGCCGCCAAAGATAGAATTGCTGAGTGACAAATGAAGCAACCAGTGGTAAGGAATCCAGCAAACCCAAGAACAGAAGCTCCCACGGTTAGGATACCGAGGACAATAATACACCTGGAAAATGGCAGGTCGTCATTGCCGAGGAAAGTTAGTTTATTTTCTAAATTGGAGATGCATTTACCATCCAGGAGCAAAATTCGGCTTCGGCTGAAAGGCGAGGATCATTGCGATCATAAGAATTCCTGAAATCTGTAAAACGTTGTCACAACCATTACGCATTACGGTTGAATTTGGCGATGGGGACAGTAGAGGTAATCCCGACGCTCACTCCAATCACGATGTACATCAGTTGTGCAATGCGTTGCAGCACAACACGGATAGGATTCTTCACCGCCTTAGTTCCGGTCAAAGCCATCGTGTCGCTACCTTTCTCAACAATAAGAGAGCCTATTTCTGACAGCCCGAGACAGTGTTCACACCATCGACGACGGTCAGCTTTCTATTCTACCTTTCAGGGAGCCTCTGGTAGTCATCACACTACGAACGAATTCTTGATTGTGGGAAAGCCCTTTTCAGAAACCTGAACAAGGCGGCAGTCACTGAGCGCGATAAAGCACTGTAACAATGAAGCTAGCGAGACCATTCAATGCACAAAGAAAGAAGTTAATGTATATATATATATATTTAATTTCGCCACCCTTTCGCAAGCCCACAAACTTTCAAGGTCACCAAACTACCCTGTAAAAGTTTCTGGATGTAGAAAGGGACCTGCATTACACTATGATTGTACCCTAGGCAGCATATGCATCTAAAAGAGTATAGTACAATGCAAATTTGAGCAAGCATATGAATCGCCCACCTGTCCTACATTCTTGCACTTCCGCGTACAGCCACATAAAGGATCAGAGTCAAGATCTATGAGTCTACTTCTAGCTAACCTCCTCAAGCCTGCACATCCTCCTGCTCGCTCTTGGACCCAACCATGCGGCCCTGCTGCACCGCACTCAGCTGCGCTCGCACCGTCTCCAGCTCCTCTGCTACTGCTGCTGCTGCCTTGCTGGACTCCTCTAGCTCCGCATTCTGTAAGTGCGACAGGGAAAAGGGGAGGGAAGAATGTGATCTGGCGCAAACTCTGCAGGCTTTAGCTCCTCTGCTACTGCTGCTGCTGCCTTGCTGGACTCCTCCAGCTCAACATTCTGATGTGTGACAGATAGGAAGGGAGGGGGGAAAGATGAGTGTGAGCATGCATCAACAGGGCACAGTCTATATTCCTCCAACTCCACATACTGATGTGCTTCTTGTTCTCCTTGACTTCTAGGTGAGCCTGGTCTACAGGGCTTCCACCAGCATGGCTGGCTAAGTCAAACCCTTCCCCCTTAACACGTATCACCGTTCACCCTCTCATTCAGCTTCTTGAGGCTCTCACCTACCTTTTCAGCATCTCCTTGGCCTCAGCATACGCCTGAGATTCAAGGGATTCCACCAACATGGCTGGCTAAGTCACCCCCTTCCCCTGAAACCCTAACCCATATCTACACCAGGGCTGTCGATTGGTTTGGGGCCAATACTTGGGAGGCTGAGGTCCCCCGAAAACAGCCCTGAAATTTCCGGAAAGCGACCGAACTGAGCCCTGAAGCGTACGGGCTGGGGTCCAAACCAGAACTTGAAATCAGGGCTGCGCCGGAGACTGTACTTTGTCTGAGAGAAAACCTTTGTAATCGTACCAGATTGGGCAGCGTGCTGAGTGGGGTGAATTTGTGTGCCAAATCTGATAGTAGTGCACATTTCTCTTTTATTCATAGGTGTCACGGACTTGGCCAATTTCTGGGATGCGAGAGTGTGTGGGAGGGGCTTGTGACTGGCTTTGGAGACGGCCAAAAAAAATGTAGGTGGAGATGGGGGAGGGGGAAGTGGGGGTGTAGGAGGAGGGGATGTTGGAGTATTGTCTCGGGCTGTGGGGGCTTGTCGAATTCTCTGGGGGTCCGAGGGGGGTGGGAGGAATGTCTGCGGGTGTGGGGGACTTCATTGATTTTCCTATGTTCGGTTGGGGTGTGGGAAGAATGTCTCTGGTTTGGAGGACTTAGAGCAATTTTCTGGCTGGGGGGATTCTCTGGGGTGCGAGGGGTGTGGGAGGAATGTCTCTGGGTGTGGGGGACTTTGAGGAATTTTCCGAGCTTGGGTGGGATGTGGAAGGGATGTCTCTGGTTTGGAGGACAGCCAAATTGTCCTAGCCGAAGGGGAAGGTGGGGTGGTGTGGGTGGGCGAGGAAGGTATGCATAGGTAAGGGTATGTCTATACACCGTTACGGAAAATCAGGGAAAGGCTTCAACTCAGCCCTGAGCGATTCCGGGAAAGGGCCGAAAGAAACCCTTAACCATCACGGGCTAGTCCCGAATCAAACCCCGAAAAGTCGGACCCTGACGGACGGCTTACCCGGAATGTTCAGGGAATTAAGGGCATTTGCCCTTGAATCGATAGGCCTGATCTACACTCACCCTCTTCTTGAACTTCTCATTCTCCTTGGCTTCAGCGTACGCCTGGTCCTCCAGGCTTCCACCAGCGTCACGGGGCTGCCTGCACCAGAACTTGAATCACTAGCCCCACACACGTGACACAGCAACAAGCACTCACCCTCTTCTTGAGCTTCTGGTTCTCCTTGGCCTCGGCATACGCCTGGTCCTCCAGGGCTTCCACCAGCATGGCTGCCTCCGCCCTCACCTCCAGCATCGCCTCAAACTTCTTCTCTCCCGCCTCTAGCTCGCGGGTCATTTGAGTCACCTGGCGTATGGGAGGGGGTGAAAGAGAACAGGAGGTACAATGGAGCAGGCGGCACAAGGCACCATGCACACATCAGCCACCAGCATGGCTGCCTCCGCTCACCTCCAGAATCGCCTCAAACTTCTTCTCCCCTGCTTCTATCTCGGGGGGCATCTGTGTGACCTGGTGGTTGAGGGAGGCACACGGGCGCAGGGGCAAAAGCTCACAGGAGGTTCAAGAAATAAAGGGCGCATGAGCTTCCACCAGAATGGCTGCCTCCGCCCTCACATCCAACGTCCGCCATGCTATCTTGCTGCACCTACTGGCCCTCTCCTACTAGCCCTCACCAACTCGCCCTCTCCTACCAGCCCTCTCCGCCCTTTGAGAGTTCATTCACCAAGCACCCTTACCTTCCCTATCAAAGCCTCGAGCCCCGAGTCCTCGCCCCACCCAAGCGCTATCCAGCTGCTGCTGCGCCTCCTGCACTCTCTGCCATCTCCCATCAAACCCCAAGTCGCACCTGTCCTGTCCCTTGAGCCTAGAGACCTCGTCCCAAGCGATTTCCAGCTGCTGCCGCACCTACTGCGCTCCCTTCCCTTCCAGGTCATTCACAAGGGCTCATGACATTCCCATCCAAAACCTCCGGCTACACACCCGTGACCTGTCCCTTGAGCCTCAAACCCTCGTCCATTATTCAATTCCTTCTGCTCAGGGTTGACTCAAAACACCCCTAGCTTACCTGTGGCTCATATCCCAAGCCAAGCCACACAACGGTCCCTTGGGCTTCGAGACCTCGTCCCACGTGCCATCCAGCTGCTGCTGCACCTCCTGAGCCTTGTGCTCTTTGACTTCACCCAAACCCCCCCGCACCCATTCATGACAAGCCGCACCCATTCATGACAAGCCGCAGCCATTCATGACAAGCCGCAGCCATTCATGACAAGCCGCACCCATTCATGACAAGCCGCAGCCATTCATGACAAGCCGCACCCATTCATGACAAGCCGCACCCATTCATGACAAGCCGCACCCATTCATGACAAGCCGCACCCATTCATGACAAGCCGCACCCATTCATGACAAGCCGCACCCATTCATGACAAGCCGCACCCATTCATGACAAGCCGCAGCCATTCATGACAAGCCGCACCCATTCATGACAAGTTCTACAAGCAAGTTCTACACTCTGTTTTTACTTAAGCGTCTTCTTGAGTTGCTGCCACGTAAAGACCTATGGCACCCAAGTGGTGTTCACTCGCACCCATTCATGACAAGCCGCACCCATTCATGACAAGCCGCAGCCTCACCTGCCCTTTCGGCCTCAAGCCCTCGTTCCACGTGCCATCCAGCTCTTTGTGCACGGCCTGCACCCTCTGTCGTTAGGGTGGACCATAATGGCACCCTCACCATTATGGCACCCTCACCATAATGGCACCCTCACCATAATGGCACCCTCACCATAATGGCACTCTCACCATAATGGCACCCTCACCATAATGGCGCCCTCACCTCACCTTACCTGTCTCTAGAACCCCAACGCTTACCTGCCCCTTGAGCCCTGACACCTCGTCCCAAGTGGTATCCAGCTCCTTGTGCAACTCCTGGCCCTCTCTGCCCGTTGAGTTCATTCAGTGGCGCCCTTTCCTTTCCCGCCCAAAACCCCAAGCCCCACACCTGTCCCTTGAACCTCGAAACATCGTCCCACGTGTTGTCCAGTCCCGTCTGCACCTCCTTCACTTTCTGTTGTTTGAGTCAATATCACCATACCCGTGCCTTCCCAGCCCAAACCCCTGACTACACACCTGTCCTTTGAGCCTCGACACCTCGTCCCACGTGTTGTCCAGTTCCTTCTGCACCTCCTTCACCTTCTCCTCTGCTGACGCCCTGCTGGCGTCAGCAGCCTCCTTCTCCGTCGCCAGCCTGGCAGCCTCGTCCCGTACGGCCGCCAGCTCAGCAGATAGCGATGCCAGCTGGGACTGGAAAGAGGGAATGAAGGGGGAGGAGATCCGAGGGGATAGGAGTAGGAGAGAAGCAGTAGTGGCTAGGAGGCAGCAGATAGCTATGCCTGCTAGGATCGAAAGAGGGAAATTCGAGGGGGGGAGAAGAGTAGACGCAGTTGGCAGGAGGCAGCAGACCGAGTGGGTGGGGGAGAGAAGGAAGAAAGGAAGAAGGGGTGGGGGACGAGCAGGGAAAGAGAAGGGTAGCCATCACCACACACCACCACACACCACACCACCACACACCACACCACACCACACCACACCACACCACAAACATACCACACCATACCCACCACCACCACACACACCCATCATCCCCCACCTAACCTCACACAGCAATCCCACCCCCACTTCTCACTCCACCCACCTCCAACTCCTTCCGTGCCGTCTCCCCCTCCTTCTCCCTCCTCCTCGCCTCCCCCACTTCCCTCCTCAGCCCCTCAGTCTCCTCCTGAAGGGCATCCACCACCCTCCCAGCCTCCTCCACCCCGGCTTTGAGCCGCCCCACCACCTCCCTCTCCCGCCCCAATGCTGCCGAGTGCATCTGAAGCTCCTGGACGGCAGCACTCGCCGCCCGCTGCTCGCGCTCCAACGCATCTTCCGCCGCCCGCTTTCCGGCCTCTGCCTCGTCCGCTAGCTTCTGAAGATCCGTGAGGGTTTTCTGGGCGGCTGCCAGCTCGCTACGGGTTTCTTCAGCTGCCCGTTCAGCTGCCCGGACGGCACCTTTGAGGGCCTCGGCATCGAGCTCCAGTTGGGTGACTGCCTGTTGCTTCTGGGAAGCTTCCTCCTGGGCAGAGGCAAGGTCGTTTCTGAGGGACGCAAGCGACTCGTGGGCGGCTGCCAGGCTGGCATTGGTTGATTCCACGTCAGCATGTAGAGATTGGATTTCCTCCTCCTTGCTCTCCACTGTGCGCTTCTCCTCTGCCAGCTCAGCCTGCAGGGCTGCCACGGTAGCTTCAACCTTGCCCAATGCACCCCGAGCATCGGCCAACTCAGCACGCAGCCGGCCCTCCACATCAGCAGTCTCCTTCAGCTGTGCTGACTTGGCATCCAGCTCAGCAAGCGCATCCTTCCCACGCTTCTCCAGCTCCCTCACTCTTCCCTGTAACCGTGCCACCTCACCCTGTGCGGTAACCGCCTCGCCAATCTTCGCCTGCAGCTTCACCCGGCCAGACACCAGCTGCTGCTGCAGCGCCTCCTGCTCCTTCCTGGAAACCTCGAAGTCAGCAGCAAGAGCAGTGGCAGTTTTCTCGGCGGCTTTGACTGCTGCTGCTGCTGCCTCTGCCGCTGCCTGCGCTGCTGCCAGCTGCTGCTGGCGCTGGGATAGCTGGGAGGATAGCTGCCGGGCTGGGAGGGGGGAGGGACGGGAAAAGGGGTGGGGGGAGTGGGGGAGAAGAGGGGTGGGGGGGGCAGGTTGGTGAGCGAGGGAAATGTGGGTTAAAAAAGGGCAAGGCGCCTAAACCCTGACCCAAAACCCCAAACCCCGGCGCCTCTGTGTCTGCCTGTGCTGCTGCGAGCTGCTGCTGGCGCTGGAATAGCTGCGTGGATAGCTGCTGGGCAGTGGGGAGAAAGGGGGGGAGGAGACGGAGGGGAGACCAGGGGATGCGGGAAAGGGGGTGAGAGGGAGAGATGGGCACATTGAACCTCCTCAATGTGAGTCCTGCGGCTGCTGACTCTGCCTCTGCCTGTGCTGCAGCCAGGATAGCTGGGAGGATAGCTGGGAGGATAGCTGGGAGGATAGCTGGGAGGATAGCTGGGAGGATAGCTGGGAGGATAGCTGGGAGGATAGCTGCAGGGCTGCAAGGGGAGGGGAGGGAATCGTGGGTAAGATTAAGGCCCCCTTGAAGCACCTCGATTTGAGTGCCGCTGTTTTTGCCTCTGCCTTTCAGCGATGACATGAACAGTGACACGAATGATGACATGAACAGTGACACGAATGATGACATGAACAGTGACACAAACGATGGCACGGAAGGTACAGGGGGATATGGACGAAGAGCGTTACAAATGAGGACATGGCACGGACGGAGGGAGCAAGTGCTGGTAACAACGTAACTTCTGTTGTCTGCAAGTGCATGCAAATATCAACACCCCACTTATACTCACTCACCTTTCTCCTCCCCCCTCTTCGCCTTCTCCTCCTCCTCGCTCAACCTCCCCTCCACCTCCCTCCTCGCCCTCTCCGCCTCCCTCACTCTCCCCTCCGCTGCTGCCACTGCCGCCGCCGCTGCCGCCGCCCTCTCCCCTTCCGTCTTCTTCGCTGCCCGCTCTGCTGCTGCCAGCGCTGCCTGCACCTGGTAGGGATAAGGGGGAGGAGGGAGGGAGGGGAGGGGTGGGAGCGGCATGAGAGACCATGGAATGCCAGCCCCGCTCTGCCCTCCCTCCACCTCCCTCCTCTCCCTCTCCGCCTCCTTTACTCCTTCTCTGCTGCTACTGCTGCCAATGCTGCTGCCGCCCTCCCCTCTTCCGTCTCCTTCCCTGCTCTCTCCGCTGCTGCTAAAGCTGCCTGCACCTGTGGGGACAAGGGAGCAACGAGTGGGGGCATTTCGTTCCGCGCCGCGTCTCCTTCTTCCCTCGCCAGGCAGAGTTTCGCTGACCAGCGGGGATTGGGAGGAGGGGGTGAGGCGGGTGGGTTCGACCATACGAGTGGGGAAGACGGGAGGGGGGGTATGGGAGATTGGGTCTGGGATGGGCACGGGGTTTGAGTCAGTACCACACGCACCTTCACCAGATTCGCCTCTACCGCTTTCCGCTGCGCCCTCTCCCCTCGCAGCACGAATCCCAGCGCGCCAGCTGGCGCCACGCCGAGCAGCGCAGCGCCCAACCACCCGCCGCCCGACGCCTCCTGCTGCCCCTCCTGCTGCTCCGCCTGCTGCTCCTGCTGTTGCGGCGTCTGCTCGATTTAGAGCGCGATTAGCGAAACAGCGCATAGCGAGACAGAGAGATGGGGCAGAGCGGGAAATGGGGGTGTGAGAAAATTGCCCAGTGCAACGAGTCCTCCACGCCTCCCTCTCTCCCTCCCCCCCTCCCGCATTCCCTCCTTCCCATCCCTACTCTTCCCACTCTCCCCCTCTTTCCGCCTCTCTCACTCGCGAGTCGTCTTACCCCAGCATCCACGTCAGCACCCACTGCGTCTGACGTCAGCGTTGACTCGAGGACCTCCCGTGCCTCCTCTCCCGCGGACTCAGCAGCGGGTGTAACTTCGGCAATGATGTCAGCAGGGGCCGCTACTTCGGCAATGACATCAGTAGGCGCATCAAGGACTGCCACGTCAGCACCTTCCCCCTCCCCACGCGCGATCCTCGGAAACCCGGCGAGCGCAAGCGCGAAGGGCCCCGCGATGGTGAGAAGCCTGCGGCGGGAGAGAAGCGTCGCGCGGAGCGAGGGTTCCGCCCTCGCGCTCGCGCGCGCAAGGTTCTGCGCCGCGGAGCCCTCGCTGCCTTCCGCGCACACGCGAACCGCTCGAGATTTCCGCGCGGGGAGCGACACTGCGCGCCGAAGGGCGGAGTGAGGGGCGCCACCTTCTGCAGCGAGAGGAACGGCGCGCGGCAAAGAGATGCCTTGCAATGCGGCGGCGGACGCGAGGGACGACGCACAGGACGCCATGGCTGGGTGTAGCGAGAGAGGAAATTGCAAATACGAATCGAGGGAGGAGAGTTCTCACAGCTACGGCCCCGAGAGTTTCGTCTGGCGAATCGCGGATAGGGCTTCTGAGGTTGCTGATGGATACGAAATGGCTCGAGAAATAGCCCCTAAAATGAAAGTTGGTACGGGGTTGATTCGAAAAATGAGGGACAAATGAGAAGGACGTGGAGTGGAAAGGAGCACTTGTTCTGCTTGTGGCGGGGATAAGGTGTAGAAACTTCCTGGTTTCTTTTTCCGCGTGGCATTGTTTGGATGACGGGCTAGTGACGTGGACTGCTGACGGGGCGAAAGCAAATGCGCCCTGAAAGTTGAACCACAAAAGGTAGTCATGCAGCTGCAACCACGTTTCGCTGGCGAAAACAGAAAGCGTCGTTCATTCGCGAGTTTCGCCTAGCTGATGGGAAGAAAGTGTGTTTCACGGCGAGAAGGTGTAACTTGATCAGCTCGTTACTAACCTAAAATCAACTGTCGCGAACCATTCGCTGGCGCGATTTTCACCTCCCAACCACACCAAACCAGAAATGAATAGAATGAGAAAGTATCTATCCATCCACCCTGTCTGCCTGTGAGCACCTTCCGCCTGGTTCCTTTCCTTGCTAGCGCCATAATTCCAGGTGATAGTCGAACCTTTGAGCACATTCTCCCCGCAAGTCACGCTCCCTCAGCCCCACCAGCTCGCCGCTAATCCGCCCCGAACCGCCTTTCGCCAGCGTTTGCCATTCCATTCGTGCGGTTATCGCCTGCCTGACGCCGTCGATCGTCGATCATGGCAGCCGTGCGGTCAGCCGTCGGCATTAGTCCCTCCGGCCTTCAACAGTCCCTCGCGCTGCAAGCAGACCGCCTCTCGAAGCGCCATCAGCTCCGCGCGGCTTCGGCAATCCCGAGGAACCGAACAGCTTTGGAACGGAGATCCTTGGTTGTGCGCGCCTCGAACGAGCGGTTCGACATTGGGGACTTCGGAGCGCGCGACCCGCGGGCGGATGAGCTGGAGAGCCAGTTCGGGGATAAGGTCCTCGGGAATGCCGACACGGAGCACCGCATCCTGCTGCCGTCGGGAATCACGTACGTGCATCGGGTCTGGGGCACTCGCGATTGCGTTAGTTGCAATGGCTTGTTTTGATTTTCTTTTTTCTTTTTTTCATTTGTTCCAACGGCGGCTCGTTCACGTCCCTAACCGTCACGTCACTCAAACCCAAATGTTCACGACAACTCTGACTTCTTTACCTTGATCCCCGAAACTTCCCAAAACCTTGTCACTCCCCTTGGAATAGAACCCAGAGCCCTGAACCCTCCACCGGGCGTTTCCACCCTACCCCACTCCTCCCCGCCACTTCCTCTTGCTTCGTTATTGATCTTCTCCACTCTCCCCTTTTGTCGTTTCCTGCAGCGAGGTGGCAGGCTTGTCGGCGCGCAATTGCGCGCCCCTGCCAGCTGGCACGCAGCCATTGGCGGAACCAGGCGCCCGGGAGTTGCTCAAGCGGGTGAGTCACGCGGAGCGGTATGGGGAATGCGGGGAAGGTGGGGGGAAGAGGAGGGTTAAGGGGAAGGGGAGTGGCGGAATGGGGAATGTGGGGGAATGGGTAGGGCGGGAAGGGAAGGGCGGTAAAAAAAAGAGGAGAGAGGCGGTATGACGAACGCGGGAGTGGGCGGTATGGGTGGGTGGGGAAGGGCGGTGTGGGGAACGGAGGGAGGCGGGGCGTGGGGAAGGATAGCGGGCGCAAGGGGGCGATGCAAGGGGCAAACCTCTCACCTCGCACCCTTACCCCGAACGCCTCCCTGCAGCTGGTTGGCTGGAAGCTAGTACGAGACCCGTCTGACCCCTCTGCCTCGCGGTTAAAACCCGCGGCCCAAATTGTTGATACGCACTGCGTATGAACTGTGAGCCTCGGCCTGGACGAAATACACAGGAAACTCGTGAGGGTATTTCATGTCGCGAATTCGTCATTTGTCGTAGATCGTCCGATTTGCAAGCAGGCAGTGCGACGGCTGAGATTACATTTCGATTGACTGGGGGAAGCACTTTACTTGCGCGCCGTTAGATGGAAATCGACAAATATTGGACGGCTAAAAAACGCGAGGCACTTGGTGTCCCAAAATACGTTCCGCGCTGAACTTGAAAGCCAGCCCCGAGTGGCGCGAGTCACGTTACCCCCATCTTCACCCACGAAAACGCGGCTTTCAAACGCAGTGCGTTTGAAGGTCGCGCCTCGCAATTTGGGCCACGGGCTTTAAGGGGAGAGTGGCGGGTGCGCGACGAGGAGAGCGGGCGGGAGCTGATGATGAGGCCCGTGGGGGCGGCAATGAGTCTCTCTCGAGGCGAATGGGTTCGATCAAACTCATTCGGCTTCGTTTAACGTTAATCCTCGCACACCAACCCCGAACCTTTCCTGGCAGGTGGTCGGCTGGAAGCTGGTTACCGACCCCTCCAGCCCGTCCCAACTGCGGCTAAGGGGCGAGAGGCGGGTGCGCGACGAGGAGAGCGGGCAGGAGCTGATGAGGCGCGTGGGGGTGGTGGTGAATCTTTATGAATAATTTTCAGTTCCTTGCACCCGAAACCCCGATACCCTCCCTGCAGGTGGTTGGCTGGAAGCTTGTTTCGGACCCGTCTAACCCCTCTGCCTTGAGACTACGGGGCGAGTGGCGGGTGCGCGACGAGGAGAGCGGGCAGGAGCTGATGAGGCGCGTGGGGGTGGTGGTGGAGGGGCAGCAGCAGCAGTGCGGCGGCAGCCAGCAGGCGGACATGAGCTTGGAGCAGGGCTACGTCGTTCGGGTTGACCTGCACACACCAGCCATAGGTGCGTCATTGCAGCACACACCGGCCATAGGTGCGCCATTGCAGCACACACCGGCCATAGGTGCGCCATTGCAGCACACACCGGCCATAGGTGCGTCATTGCAGCACACACCGGCCATAGGTGCGCCATTGCAGCACACACCGGCCATAGGTGCGCCATTCCAGCACACACCGGCCATAGGTGCGTCATTGCAGCACACACCGGCCATAGGTGCGTCATTGCAGCACACACCGGCCATAGGTGCGCCATTCCAGCACACACCGGCCATAGGTGCGCCATTGCAGCACACACCGGCCATAGGTGCGCCATTGCAGCACACACCAGCCATAGGTGCGTCATTGCAGCACACACCGGCCATAGGTGCGCCACTGCAGCACACACCGGCCATAGGTGCGCCATTGCAGCACACACCGGCCATAGGTGCGCCATTCCAGCACACACCGGCCATAGGTGCGTCATTGCAGCACACACCGGCAGCACTGTGGTCTGAGGTGCCGCAAAGCAGTGTGGGGGGCGCCAGCAGGCGGATATGTGAGCGTGGAGCAGGGCTGCGTTCTTAGAGTGGACCTGCCTGCACACACCAGGCGTAGGTGAGTGATGAAGAGTGTATTGCTGAGGTGATGCGGTGCGTGGGGGTGGTAGTGGAGGGCCAGCAGCATCAATGCAGGGACAGCCAGCAGGCGGATATGAGCTTGGGTCAGGGCTACGTTGTCAGTGGATTTACATACTTCTGCAATCGGTGAGTGAGAGACTGTTACATGGGAAGCAGGTGGGAGCTTACTGTTTGGAGTGTGGGGGGGAGTGGTTGGCATGAGATTGGAGCAGGGCTTTGGATTTGACCTTCACTCTTGAGGATGCTAAGAAATGACTGCAATCGGCGAGTTTTGGGCAAGGTGCAAAACAACGGTCGTTTTTTTTTTTTTTTTTTTTTTTTTAAATTATTCGGCCGTTTAAAACGGTCCTGAGGTGCGTTTTCGGGTTGGTGCAAAAAAACGGTCGTATTTTTTTAACCAGCAAAACCCGGGGAAAAAAATTTGTAATTAAATTGTAATCACTTTCGGATGCACCGTGGTACTTCATTTGTGAGTGTTGTTAATGTTTTGAGACGGTGTTGAGGGTGATAGTGGGGGGGAAGACACGGCAGAGGAGGAGGACAAAGATTCAACACACGTACCTGTAGAACTGTTTGTTAGCCCCCTTAGCCCTGAGTAAGCCATCGTAGCCACGATGCAACCGTTTTCCGCGTTGTTTTTTTTTTTTTTTTTTTTTTTTTTCAGGTTCCCAAAAATGTCTCTTAAAAAAACGGTCGTTGCTGTTGTTGTTGTTGTTTTTTTTTTTTTTTTTTTTTTTTTTTTTTGGCCGTATAAAACGGACTGTATAAAACGAACCGTATGATACGAAAACCGTATTTTTCCACCTTGGTTTGGGGCATGCCAGCAGCACGGTGTGGAGCGCTGAGGCAGCTGAGAGCTGTGTGTGCGCTGGGAGGCAGTCAGCAGGCGGATATGAGCCTTGCGCAAGCCCATGTAGTAAGGGGGTTCACCTACATACCCTTCCAACTGGTGAGCCATTGCACGCACCAGTGCAGGTGAGCTCTGGCACACATGTGCAGATGAGCTCTGGCACACATGTGCCGATGCGTGGGCCAGCATTTGCACATACCATGTCGAAAGCATGTCTCTTTCTTTCTTCCCACTTTCTTCCCTTTCACCCCCCCCCCCCCCCCCCTCCATGGTACTGGGTTGAGCGAGAATGATTCTATCAGTGCAGCTCAAGGACTGCATCCAGATAACAAACCTTTTCCTTCCCATCTTCCCTCCACCCCTTGCCCTTCAACCCCCTATCTTCCCATGCAGGCGGGTTGAGCGAGAATGATTTCATCATTGCAGCCAAGGTGGATATCATCAAGGTCAGCGGGCGGCCTTATAGAGAAGGGTTGCTTCATCCTTCCTCTCTTCCCATCCCCTGCCATTGACCGTTGCTTCCTGCATGCAGGTGGGTTGAGCGAGAACGATTTCATCATTGCAGCAAAGGTGGATATCATCAAGGTCAGCGACCTCATCAAGAAGGCTCGCTTCTGGGCATAGGGAGGCCTCTAGCTACACTCTAGTTAGATGAATCCAAGGATGGACCTGCTACTGTTTTGTTCATACTCTTTATTGAATCAAGGTCAGTGGCAACTTCATCAAGAACACTCGCTTCTGGGCATGGGGTGAAAGAAACCAAAAAAACTATTATCAATGGAGATGCTTCCATACAAGGGAATCAACCGAGGCTTGGAAGAGAAGGGTGAATAGTGCCTAAGGAAGACCCAAGGAAGTTGGTTTACCGTGTCAAATGTGACTTAGGTCGTTACTGTAGACTATACTGGATTGTGCCTTAGAGGGTACCACACCCTAGTCTATATACCCTTGAACTTACACATTCTTGTTCAATTATTCTTTCTGATATGGTATCATAGTAGGTTAGGTTCCCCCCCTAGCCCGCCCACGCTTCCGCTCCCTAGGCCCTAGCCACCGTCGTGCCCCGCTCCTAGCCGGCCCTCCTGGCCGTCGCGCTCGTCCCTAGCCGGCCCCCTGGCTGTCGCGTCCGCCCCTAGCCGGCCCCCTGGCCGTCGTGTCCGTCCCTAGCCGGCCCCCTGGCCGTCACGTCCGCCCCTAGCCGGCCCCCTGGCCGTCGCGTCCGCCCCTAGCCGGCCCCCTGGCCGTCGCGTCCGCCCCTAGCCGGCCCCCTGGCCGTCGTGTACGCCCCTAGCCGGCCCCTTGGCCGTCGCGCCCGTCCCTAGCCGGCCCCCTGGCCGTCGCGTCCGCCCCTAGCCGGCCCCCTGGCCGTCGCGCCCGTCCCAAGCCGCCCCCCTGGCCGTCGCGCCCGCCCCTAGCCGGCCCCCTGGTCGTCGCGTCCGTCCCTAGCCAGCCCCCTGGCCGTCGCGTCCGCCCCTAGCCGGCCCCCTGGCCGTCGCGTCCTAGCCGACCCCCTGGCCGTCGCGCCCGTCCCTAGCCGGCCCCCTGGCCGTCGCGTCCGCGCCTAGCCGCCCCCGAGGCCATCGCGCTTGTCCCTAGCCGGCCCCCTGGCCGTCGGGCTCGTCCCTAGCCGGCCCCCTGGCCGTCGCGTCCGCCCCTAGCCGGCCCCTTGGCAGTCGCGCCCGTCCCTAGGCGGCCCCCTAGCCGTCGCGCTCGTCCCTAGCCCCCCCCCCGCCCCCCCCCCCCCCCCCCCCCACCCCCCCGGCCGTCGCGCCCGTTTCCTGCCGTCCCAAGGCCGCCCCTAGCCGTCTCACGGCCGCCCCCTCGCCGTCGCGGCCGCCCCTAGCTGCTGTCGCTGCCGTCTCCAGCCGCCTCACGGTCACTCCTGCCGTCGCGGCCGCCCCTAGCCGCCGTCGCGGCTGTCCCTGGCCGCCGTTGCGGCCGTGTCTCCTCGCCGTCGTGGCTGGCCCTACTCGCCGTCGCGCCACCTCCTCGCCGGCCCCCGTTGCCGCCGTTTGCTGGCCCCTCGCGTCTGCCGTCCGCCGGCCAGCTCCTCCATTCGCGTCGTCGCCAGCCCGCCGCCGCCTCGGGTTCGGCCCGTTCCTCCCGATCAGCACTGCCCTGCGAACCCCCCCGGTACCGTACTAGACCACCTTGCACCGCCCTGCACCGCACTGTACCGCAATGTACCGCACTGCACCGCACTGCACCGCACGCACTGTACCGCACTGCACCGCACCGCACTGTACCACACTGCGCTGCACGGCACCGCACTGTACTGCTCTCCATTGCCTTCTATTGTCACTGATGGCGGAGGTGCTTTGCTTTGACGCTGAGGGCCAGCCGATTGAGTTTGATGCGTGGCTTGCTGACCTCCGTCGCCACCTTACTGGTCAGCGGCAGGATGGCCACTCTCTGTCTGTCCATCTTGACGCTACTCTCCCCTGCACTGTCTACTGATCCCTCATCCGCTGAGCGTGAGTCCGCTGCGGCCGCTGCCCTTGCTCGCTCTGTCTGGCTGTCCCGTGACGCTGTCGCCCAGCTTGCCATTAGCAATGCCCTCCCCCTGTCCGAGCGACCTCGCTTCAAGTCTATCACCACTGCCCAGGCTTTCCTGTATGCCGTTGTCCAACGCTATTCCACCCTGCCTGCTGCCTCGGTCGGTCGTCTGATCCTCCCCATGCTCTTCCCTGACCTTGTATCGTTCCCCACTGTCGCCGCCCTGGCCGCTCACCTGCGCACTATAGACGAGACCTGGCGTGCTGCCTGCACTCCCACACAGCTTCTAGCCCACCAGTCGCCCCTCACCTCTACTCTCTACCTGCTAGCCACCCGCCTCCTTGATCGTCTTGCCACTGCCCGTGACCACTTCCTTAGCGTCCACCCTGCAGACCTCACCCTCACTGACTTTGTTGACACTCTGTCCGCTATAGAGGCCCGCCACCGCTCGCTCATACCAGCGGTACTGTGCCGGTCCCTATCTTACAGGGTTGCGCCCCCGCTCAGTGCACCTTCTCAGACGGTTCTGTTGCTGTGGCTGAGACTGCTGTTGCAGCACAGGTCCGTCCGGGGAAGGGTCGCCGCCCCAAGGCTGGGCGTGGCTGCGGGGGTGGGGGTGCAGGTGTAGGTGGTGCTGGAGCTGGGTCTCATGGTGGTGGTGCGGACGAGGGGACCCTACCAGGTGCAGCCGAGCAGCCGTCTCAGCAGCCGCCGGCGCTGCAGCCGGACTCGCGTCAGCCGCAGCAGTCGCAGCCGCATCAGAGACGGGCGAGTGGTCTCCCTCCCGAGTGGCCTGGCGCTGGTGGTAGCGCTGGACGTGGTGGTGGTGCGCGTGGTGGGCTGCCGGGTGGTGGTTCGGGTGACGAGCGCTGTCAGTACCTACTCCAGACCGGTCCTCGCCGTGGCTTCGTTTGCGGTAAGATCGGTCACACCTCCGTCCGCTGTTTCCGTCGCCTGGACGACCTGTTTCGTCAGCGTTTCGGCCCGTCGCCCGAGCTCCCAGACTGGCACAGTTTGCTTCGTCGCAGGGCTCAGATTTTTGATCTCGATATGGATGAGATTGTTACTGCTCTGCATGTAATGTATGCTGATGACTCTAGTGTGCTTCCGTCTTATTACCCCTTGTTGCCTAGTGTAGGTGTGCCTTGCTTAGACTCCTCTGCTGCGTCAGGCGTAGGATCCCCTGCTTTGTTTAGCCTTGGTGCTTCCGTCGCTGCTTCGTCTCCGGCCGCCACTGCCACGCTCTCCTTCACCCTCAACTCTGGCGCTTCCCGGTGCTTCTTTCGTGACTCCACCACGTTGACACCGCTTCCTGTCCCTGCCGCAGTCTCTCTTGCTGACCCCTCCTCCGGCCCAGTAGTCGCCCGCTGTTCCACCACCCTCCCCTGCCCGGCGGTTCCTTCAGGCTCGCTCATAGGACTCCACATCCCCTCGTTCTCCAGGAACCTAGTTGGTGTCGGCTGCCATCAGGACCTTGGCGACACCACTACGTTCCCTGGACACGAGCGGTACGCTGTCTATACCGAGGCCGCCACTGGTGCCCCCCTGTCCACGTTCCCACGGGACCCGGTGTCCGGTCTTTTCACACTGGACACGGTGACCCCCCCGGCTGGGACCCCCCCTCAGGTGACTGCGTCTCCCCCGGTTGCTGCTGCCTGCTCCTGTCGGTCTCTCACTCACCCGACTCTTCTCTCGCACCACCGCCTAGGTCACCCTGCGCTCCCGCGTCTGCGTCACATGTCACAGCACGGTCTCATCCTAGGCCTCCCCGGGTCGTTCCCTCAGTTTCCCTCCTCCCCTCCCCCACCTTGCACGCCTTGTGTCGAGGGCCGGCTCCGCCGTGCCCCTCACTCCTCCTCGTTTCCCCATACTGCAGCACCGCTACAGACTCTGCACATGGACGTCTGGGGCCCCGCCCCCGTCCATAGGCCGCGTCGAGAGCGCTACTTCCTAGTGCTTGTCAACGACTACACGCGCTACACCACTTTGTTCCCCCTGGAGCGGAAGGCCGACGTGCCTGCCGTTCTTATCCCGTGGCTTGTCTCTGCGTGTGTCCACCGCGGTCTCCTTGTCTTGCGTCTCCACTCCGACCGTGGTGGCGAGATTGCCTCTGATGTCCTTGGTTGTTTCTGTCGTGCGGAGGGCATCACCCAGACGTTCACCTTGCCGGACTCCCTGCAGCAGAATGGGGTCGCTGAGCGACGCATCGGTTTGGTCATGGAGGTGGTTCGCACCTCCATGATCCATGCCGGGGCACCCCATTTTCTGTGGCCGTTCGCCGTTCGCTACGCCGCTCACCAGCTTAACCTGTAGCCGCACCCCCAGCAGCCTCAGGTTTCGCCGACCCTCCTCTGGTCTGGGTCACCTGGTGACGCGTCTTCGTTCCACGTCTGGGGCTGCCTTGCTCACGTTCGTGCCTCTGGCACGGACAAGCTCACTGCCCGCACCCTTCCCTGTGTCTTCCTCGGCTTCCCCCTTGACGCGTCTGACTGGCACTTCTACCACCCGCCGTCTCACCGGTTCTTTCACTCCCGTGACGTCACCTTTGACGAGTCCGTCTCCTTCTTCCGCCGCTTCCCCCATCGAGGTCCCCCGGTTACCCCCCCCCTGTTTCTCATCACCCCTTCCCCGGTCGTCGCCGCCCCTCCTCCTCCCCCTCCCCGTCGTGCCCCCTCTGGTGTGTCCCACATCACCCCACTTACGTCGGTTGTCCCGGTTGAGGAGTCTGCTGACTCTGGTGGCCCTGCGGTGCAGTCCTCGCCGCCTGCCCCTTCTCAGGTGTCTCCTGTTCCGCCGCCTCCGCAGCCGCCGTCGCCACCGCTGTCGTAGCCGTCGTCACCGCCGCAGCCGTCGTTGCAGCCGCCGCCGCCGCAGCCGTCGCCGCAGCAGTTCGTTGCCTCTTGGGGTGCTGGATTTGGGGTGGGTACTAGTTTTGGGACTCCTGTCGTGGCTTGTTCCGGCGGGCCTGGGGGTGGTACCGGTGCTCGAGGGGTTCTGAGCTCTGGGGGTGTTCCTTCTGGGGGTGCTAGCTTGGAGTGTTCTGGAGGTAGCCGCCAGGCAGCTTGCGGTCCCGGTGTCGGTGTCACACCGCCGTCACAGCAGTCCCCGCCGGTGTCCGCTCTTCGCCTGCTCGGCCTTCCGTCCCCTGACCCCGTGCCTGTGCCTCCTCCTCCTCCTGTCTACGGCCCTGTGTTCCCTCCTCCGGACTCGTCTCTGGCCCGTTTCCCCCCTCGTTCCCCTCTTGTCTTCCCTCCTCTGTCTCCTGACCCGACTCCTC